TGGCACTATTCAAAAAGAGAAGGGAGGCTTTTCTAGTGTCCGAGCCAACAGTCCCCCAATAAAATGATTCATTTTATGACTGTTTGTGAGACATTGCTGTGAGAAAGTTAGCTGTTGCATTTGCCAACAAAATGGAGTCACTACACTTTGCAGCAAATCTCGTGAAGCTCTTTTGAGACATCCTCCTGACTTTTTTTTGACATAAAAGGTACTATATCAAGTGCTAGAATTGTTATTAAAGAAGTTGACACAGGTTATGTAAAGTATGGTAACTGTGAATTTGAAGTAGGAGTGCAATTGGTCCAGTATTCATAAAAATGGGCTGCTCTCATTGCTTCTCAGACTCCTGCTGGAAGGATGATCCATTGAAAGCATAGAGAATCCAGGACCTGGCACTCACTCTATTCACCTACAAAATACTCAGCCATTATACGTTAGAGTAAATACCGTGAAGCACTCAGAGAGGTCCTCCAAAGTGAAAGGCTGCTAGATCAAATGCAAGGATTAATCAACAGTTAAGAACAAATTTCTGGGAAGGGTGGTTGACACCGGGACATTGAGGTTATTTAAGATATAGCTTGATGTTGAAAAAGGAAGATAATAGGGTTGGTATTCTGAAGAAATTAGATCAAATAGATTTTATTCATCTGAACCTCTCTGATCTTGTGAGGTAAAGATAAATCTAACCTTGGGACCCAGTGAGTGACCTACCTCATCAAGAACAAACTAGTCTTTTATGGTAATCCTGAATGTTTGCTTTTTGAATCTAACTGTGCTGGATACCTTGACTTAATATACACTACCCTGTAAGTTACTGCAGCTGTTACCAGCCACACCTACAGCAACTATCTCCAGCATTGCCAACTCATGGCTGCAGGCAACGAGTTTTGTTTCAGCTTGTATGGATCCGGCAGGCAAGGAGAGGCTCACAGGGAATCATACACTCTGTACTTTTTAGGGATAAACATATATAGAACCAAACAACATTCACTGAAGAAAGTTCCCTACAAGACACATATATGCAGATTGGTCACTCACTGGATGCTGTGAGAAGAAATCTTTAATATGTCATTATACTTTGCAGTAAATCTTGTGAAGCTCTTTGAGGCATAGAATCATAGAATTATACAGCACAGAAGGTGGCTATTCGGCCCATCGTGTTTGTGCCGGCTCTTTGAAAAGAGCTATCCAATTCAACCCCACTCCCCCACTCTCTCCCCATAGCTCTGCAAACTTGTCCTGCCCAAATAGTTATCTACTTCTCTCTTAAAAGTTGTTACCAAATCGGCTTCCCCCACCCTTTCAGGCAATGCATTCCAGATCCAAACAATTCGCTGTGTGAAAACATTTCTCCTCACTGCCCCTGTTTCTTTTAACAACTATTTTAAATCAGTGTCCTCGGGTTACTGACCAGTGGAAATAGTTTCTCCTTGTTCACCCTATCGAATCCCCTCGTAATTTTGAAAACTTTTATTAAGTCTCCTCTTAACCTTCTCTGTTCCAAGGAGAATAATCCTAGCGTCTCTCGCCTCTCCTGATAACTGAAGTCCCTGATTTCTGGTATCATCCGGGTAAATCTCCTTTGCACCTTCTCCAATGACATCCTTTCTAAAGTGTGGGGCCCAGAACTGAACACAGTCTCTCGCTGAGGCCTAACCAGTGTTTTATAAAGGTGCATCATAACTTCCTGACTTTTGTATTCTATGCCCCTATTTATAAAGCCTAGTATCCCGGGTGCCCATGTTATCCGGACATGCTCCAGATTTATTTTTTTGACATTAAAGGTACTATTATCAAATGCAAGGCTTGTAATTAAAGAAGTTTACACAGGTTTTGCAAAGTATAGGAACTGTGAATTTGAAGTCACTGACTATTGTCCTATAGGAAGGGATTTTAATCCGTAGCTACAGCCACTCAAAATGAAGATTCACTGTTTGTCAAAGACACTTCCACCCTATATCTATCGTGCCTGGTGACTTACTATCTGTGCTGTTAAATAACATTGCTAGTTCTAGAGGTGCTGAAACCAACATGACAAAGTAGTTTTCTCAGTGCCTCCAGAGCAGCAAAATGAACACCGTCTCCCACAGAGCAATTGTTGTTTCTCCCCAGTCAAGGATGTAGCTGCAGAGATCAACATGGGATGTTTGAATCATAAATTTGTATCGACTTCACCAAACTTTTCAGGAAGTTCAGCTGCCACAAGCCTCAGGTCCACATTATCCTGGCAGAGGAGTGAGGTTGCAGAAGACCAAAGAAATAGGGAGGTGCTAGGGCGTAAAACAGATTATAGGTGATACTGATAAAGCTCAAAGAGCACAACAATAAAACTTCCTACATAAAATCAACACTAGTAATAAATTATTAACCTACTTAGATCAATTTAACCCTAACCCTAAGTGTGTAGTCCTGTAGCTCAGTGGTTAGAGCACTCGCTTTGCAAGTGAGAGACCGGAGTTCAATTCCAGGCAGAGGGCCAAACCTTGGGCAAGTTTCCTTACTCCACACAGAGCCTAATAATAATCCCTCCAAAACCAAAAACAATAATAAATTGGTCATTTTCAATCCACGACTGTTTGTGGGACATTGCTGTACGCAATTGGCTGCCACGTTCACCCACAAATATACAGTCAATTCACTTTACAGTACATTCTGAGAAGCATTTTGAGAAGTCTAGAAGATGCGCTATATCAAATGCAAGGGTTATTATAATTTGTTCCCCCCACATCATTCTAAGGTTCCAAACGGTGTCTCTCTCTCTCACACGTTTCTCCACACACACGCAGATACACTCTGTTTACATAGCAGTAAGTAGGAACCCGGTCGTTAATCGATTGGCGGATCACTTTCCTGGAGTAATAATCCCTCCAAAAATAAATAAAAGTTTGGTCACTCAATCCACGACTGTTTGTAGGACACTGCTGTGCACAATTTGCTGCTGTGTTTCACCCACAAAAATATACAGTCAATTCACTTTACAGTATATCCTGTGAAACGCTTTGAGACGTCTCAAAGGTGCTGTATAAAATGCAAGGATTATTATTATAAGAATATATAACTTTACAAGTGGCAATTGTATAAGAATGCCTCACACTTTACTGATATCTATTGAGGTGTGTGAGATTGAGTACTTTGTTGGTGACTCACTTTATGGCTGTTTGTGGGATGAAAGGTCCTAGATAAGATTGTGATAGCTGCCACTATCAACAGTACACAGACAGACGAGTTCTGCACCCTGAATCTACAGCGATTTGGCAATCCATTTCACCCAGAAGGATTGTATGAAGTCCAGATAACACTTTTCTAAAGTGCAGTAAACACTGCCACCTTGTGGAACAAACTGCTGAAATATAGAGTCCACTGGCATACAAACAAGAGTATTATTTTATACAGTAGTATCGCCTTATAACATGGTAGTTATAAGTGCACAAGATCCCAACCAGTTATAAGTTGGTGCAGTCATTGGTCAGTGTTTCTGCATTTACTGCATCTAGTCATGTGCCATTACCTCTTTCTGCACATTATACAACCTTCCTCAAACAACTGCTCAGCACTTTCCCAATGAACAAAATTACACAAGAAAAGTAAGGCTCAAAAGGATCACTTGAGCACTCAATTTCATTCCTCCAGTACAGTAACTCCTAGTGTGGCAACTAAATACATTTTGAACTCCACTGTTTTTGTTTCTATTACTTTGCATGGTAAATTATTCCAAATATGTATTAGCTTTGAGTAAAGTAAATTTAAAAGTCTGCAGCTGTCAAGATGTTTAATGGCCAACTAATGTCTATCCTCCTTGGGGGGCGGGGAGGAAAGCATGCACTTTGGGATTGAGCTGGCTTCAAGCTGACACAGTTGGCAATGAAATATCAGAATCAAATTGATCCTTGGTTGTGGTCTTGGCAGTCTGACCCTAGTTAGTAATTTTGTGGACCCTAGGTCCACACTACTGCAGGTAGTGATAATGGGCCAACCAGCCTGGTTCACCAACAGTACATGGAGTAGCTGGCCAGTGTCTGGGAGCTAGGATTGTTTGCTCTCAGTGATTGTTTAGATAAACCTCTCACAGTTCAATTACATTTGACATGTGTGCAGTTAATGGTCCATGTACAAAGTATAGGCTCAGAAAGACAGTAATCCAATATCTGAGCATCTGAAGACAATACTCAGTTGAAGAATTATAGAGATGTTCTAAAGATTGGCACAGTTTCTATACCTCGGTCCCTGAAACAATGCCTAAGAAGAATGAACACCAAATGTTTGCAAAGCATAAATAAACCTCAGCGAATTAGTCAATCTTAACGGAAGTTGAAGAACCTGAAAGATTGCCCGGATTCTCAATAAACAGTTGAACAATTCTGGCATTCGCGTGTTTTTTTTAAAATGCAGGGATATGATGCAAGAGACTAAATAAAACAAATCGTATACATGTATACAATGAAAGTGTAAATCTACAGGCAACTACATTGTGCTGATAATATTTAGTCTGAGAAAATGCAACGATTATTATTATTAAGAAAGACTGATTACTTGGTTTTAGATAGCAGGTTTCCTGTTTGTTCTTTCCTGTGGTTCCACTATATGCTTTATATGTTGCACATCAGCTGCACAAATGATCAAATACTGAACTCATTTGGAATGAATTTATAAGGACATGTTGCACTGTGTGATGAGATACCTCCTCAAATGCCGCTCAAAATTCTTTCTCAATTCTATTAGCCCACTTTAGGAACAGCAAGAGTACAGTCTTTTATTTACAATACCTGTTTCCCATTCTTTTCCACTACAATTGTAAAAAGAGCAGAAAGGGGTGAAAGAGAATTGATTGCAACTGCCCACTTTGCGTGCAAAGTATATTATGCACTTTCAGGACTGTTTGTGTGGCTCATTGGTTCTATGCTTGTTCCTGTGGTTTTGTTTCCAGCACTCTGGGATGTATTTCCGACGTAAATGGCGCTATACAAGTTTAATTATCGCACAGTGGTAGATTTGAATAGTACCTTTACGCCATCAATTTCCAGCAGCTCGGTTTCTGAATCTTCACCTTCCTAAAAGACAAAGAATTTTTACAAGGTTAGAGATCAGTTGATGGCCTGCAGTGAGTGTCTGACGGCTGAACTCTGCAGATCAGAATCACTCTCTCCAGACATAATGGCAGACAGTATGCGACTGAGCTTCACACTGTCTAAAACAATGCACATGCTTAGGTTCTAGCTTCATGAACACACCACCAACACCTTTTCATTCCCTTGCACATTACTTACCAGTTGGCTGCTGCTGTCATCATCTTCGTCTTCGTCCACCTCGTCCGTCTCCTCCAGCCGGCTGATATCGTCCTCTCCATATCCGGCTGACACCAGCCCTCCTTTCTCTTCTGCGAAAGAACAAACAGAACTATTCACTGCTCTCCAGACATATCTGGTCTGTGCAAGAAGCTTATCTGATCTCACCTTCAGAATATCATCTCCCTTCTTCCCATTACAGCAACAAGCTATTTTTAAATGAGTCAAATGAACTGAGAGGTTGTACCTATCAGGAAACGCTGAACATGCTTGGACTCTTTTCTCTTGAAAAGGAGGATAAGGGGTGACCTGATAGAGGTCTTTAAAATGATGAAAGGTTTTAATAGGTCAGACATAGGGAAGATGTTTCCACTTGTGTGGGGAGACCAAAACCAGGGGCCATCAATATAAAATAGTCACAATAGATCAAATAGGGAAGCTAGAAGAAATTTCTTCATAGAGAGTAGCAGGAATTTGGAACATGCTACCATGAGAAGTTGTTGAGGCAAATAGCATAGATGTATTTAAGGGAAAGCTAGATAGGTACATGAGGGAGAAAGGAATTGAAGGTTATGTTTGAAGGCTTAGTTGAGGAAGGGCAGGGGGAGGCTCCTGTGGAGCATATACACTGGCATAGACCAGTTGGGTCGAATGGCCTGTTTCTGTGCTGCATATTCTAATGTATTCTAAATGCCATTTTTCCTTTGTAATGTGAGATTCTCTTTTTAGGGACCCCGAACTGCTGCATTACAACATGGTTGGACTGTACATGGCACCACGAATGTCTTCCTATTTTTACTTCCTATATGCAGTACCTTCCAGTTATTCTATTGTATCTGCATTGAAGTTCATTTTACAGTATTCAACCGGATGCACACCTGGTCAAACTCCCTTTGTAAGAATTTTGTCTTGCTTCCCTTGATTACACAGGATCCCAAATCTTGGTATCACTTGCTTTAACTACATCGGTTGGAATTTCCAACCTGAAGTAACCTATGTGTACCGGGAACAGTACACTATTCTAAGGACTTGAGCCATCCACTCAATACGTTTGCCAACTTTGACCAAGCTTCCCATAAAACTTCCTCATTGTCTTCCCTTAACCAATTATTAATCTACACCATATTTTAACTTTGATGCCTAGATTGTCTAAATGTGGTACTTTCTCAAAAGTATTTTAGAAGTGTATCTACATTATGAGATATGGTTTTCGCCTCTGAGTCAGAAAGTTGTGGGTTCAAGCCTCACGTTGGGACTTTGAGCGCACAGTCTAGGCACTGTTGGAGGTGCAATCCTTCAGATGAGACGTTAAACCAAGGTCTCATCTGCCTGTACGGATGGATGAAAAAACCCCATAGCACCCCTTGAAAAGAGAAGGGAGTTTCTCCTTGCATTCTGGCCGACAAGACCTTCCTCTTCGACCCTGCCTACGATCACCAAATCCCTCCCCCTGTATCAGCATCAGGCTCCGCCACTGTTAAGTGCTCCGAGACACCGTCCGGCGTGAAGGGCGCCAAATAAGTGCAAGTTTTTGCTGTTGACAATCCCCCATGTAAAGATTGGTGATTCACTTCACGGCTGTTTGTCGAAGGCTGCTGTGTGAAAAGTGATTGCTGCGTTCAAGCTGCAAAACATAACAGTCACACCACTTTACAGGGCTACCCTGTGAAGCGCTTTGAGGTGCCTCATCGACATGAAAGGTACGATATAAAATGCAAGGGTCATCATCATCATCATCGTTATTATAATAATAATATTACGAAAGGCGATGAGGCAAAATCAATCCCCGAAGCCGCGTCATCAGATTATTTTCTCCCAACTTAACAACTCCTCTCCTCGCGGAGCGGAGCGACACCCTCCCACCTCGAGGCCCCGCGACACCAGGAGAGTGACCGTCAGCGACAGCAGGAAACCAGGCCAAGGCTTCCAGCAGAGCCTGAGCGCACCCGCCCCTTGCGGCCCCGGGGAGCCCAGCGAGGGGCCCGGAGAGCCGCCAAGTCATTTATTTCCGCTCAATGAATCATTGGTCCGTCCCCACTCCGGTCCCCCCCTACCTGGCTCGACGTCCGAGTCGGGCTCCGAATCGCCGGCATAGGCGGCGAGGGAGGACAAGACGTTCCGCTTCGCCGCCATCTTCCCGCGGGCGCACGCTGATGGCGTCGGAGGCTTGGCGCCGGGTGACGTCACGAGCGCGCCACATCGCCCCTTCCCCCCCCCCCTCCCTCCAGCGCGCGCGCGCGGGAATGACGCGGTTGGGAGGCGGTTGAGGCTGAGGCCCAGGCTGAGGCCTCGGAGCGGCGCCGAGCTGAGCTCCGCTCCCTCCCTCCCTCCCTCCCGGCCGGCCGGCATGTGTTTCCCCTTGGCCCCGGGCCCACGCGACAAGGTTCGCCGGGCACTGAGCGAAGTGTTCGGGTTTGAGTCTTTCCGGTCGGGCCCGCAGGAGAGTGCGGTTAGAGCCGTGTTTCGAGGTGAGGGCCGAGCGGGGCTCATGAGAACATAGGAACATAAGAATTAGAAGCAGGAGTCGGCCATTCGGCCCCTCGAGCCTGTGCCCCGCCATTCGATAAGCTGATCTTATATAATAATATATATAATAATAATAATAACAACACTATCAATCCTCGCCTTCGATACAGCGCCTTATCACGTCGTTGAGACGTCTCCGAGCGCTTCACAGAATATGTTATGAAGTGAATTGACTGTATGTTTTGTGGTCGGGGCAGGTCAGGTCGGGTCGGGGTGAACTTGCTTCTGTTCTCTTTGCAGGTGATAAGGACGTCTTTGTCTCCATGCCAACGGGAGCAGGGAAATCACTGTGCTACCAGTTACCGGCTGTGCTCGCCCCCGGCATTACTCTCGTCATCTCCCCGCTGATCGCGCTTATCCAGGTGCGCGTTTGACGTTCGGTTTGAGCTGGATATTTCTTACCTTCGCGGAATATAGCGGGAAGGGAATTGACTGCATATTATTCCGTGGGGCAGGTCAGGGTGCGCTTGCTCCTCTTGTTCTCTTTGCAGGCGATAAGGACGTCTTTTATCTCCACGTCAACAGGAGCAGGCACTGTGTGACTGGAGGAATTGTTGTTTGGTGGGCGGGTTGCGGGGGGATAAGCTACAGTGTGTTGTCATTTTCTGAATTATCTGGACAAAATTGTGTAGCCCCTGTCCATGCATGGCCTGTAGTTTACACGTAAAAAAAACTGGAGTGTAGATTTCTTTGGGGGTGGGAGGGCTAAGACATTCTGACTGTCAAAGCATTTGTGAGACAGAGTATATGGCACTTAGCAAGGTGTAAGACGTAATAATTGAGTGATTAAAAACAGAAATCGCTGGGAACACTCAGCAGGTCAGGCAGTATCTATGGAGAGAGGAAAGTGAGTTAATATTTCAGGTCGATGACCTTTTGTCTCACTTTCCTCTCTTCACAGATGTTGCCTGACTTGCTGAGTGTTCCCAGCGACTTCTGTTCTTTATTTCAGATTCCCAGCATCTGCAGTATTTTGCCCTTTGCTTAATAATTGTGTGTTTGCTTTTAGGACCAGATTGACCACTTGAGGGTCTTGAAGATTCAAGCATGCTCCCTGAATTCCAAGCTACCCGCTGAGCAACGAAAATCTATCTTGGTGGATCTAATGAGTGAAAAGCCTGCTACCAAACTGCTTTACATTACCCCGGAGATGGCTGCTGCGAACAGTATGCAGCCCATCATTACCTCCCTCCTGGCTCGTAAACTCATGTCTTACTTTGTTGTCGATGAAGCCCATTGTGTGTCACAGTGGGGCCACGACTTTCGTCCAGATTACTTGAAACTTGGGACCTTCCGGGTCAAGATTCTAGGTGTACCCTGTGTGTCTCTGACTGCCACAGCTACCCGTCAGGTACAAGAGGACATTGTGAGCTCTCTTAAACTAAAAGAGCCCATTGCAGTCTTCAAGACCCCCTGCTTCAGGGCTAATCTCTTTTATGATGTCTTGTACAAAGAGATCCTGAGCGACCCACATACAAATCTGAAGGAGTTCAGCCTGAAGGCTTTGGGAAAGATGAATAACAAAGGGGTGTGTAACAAGGTTATGTATGAGAATTTCTATGTGGTGTATAAACTTCAACTTTATAGCAGGTTTTGGATGAGAATGTCATTGGAAGATATTTGGAAAGTGTAGCCGTATAAGGGCTTCCGTCATCTTTTAAAATTTCCCAAATATGACCTTTACCAAATCTGTAACATTCGGTGCTGCAGTTGAAAGTGTCACAATCAGAAAGTGTGTTGTCTACAAGTAATTTCAGTGTTCTGGCTATTGCACTTGATAGGCACTGGAATCAGATGAGGATTCCCAGACATTTTTGTCCCCTTTTATCTGGGACATTTATACAACTGCATTCTGACCCAGATAAACTATAAATCTTTGATTTATCAGGCGATTGAATTCATTCCACAATCTGGTAAAATTGATATAATGACATGAATCGATTGTATATTAAAATAACTACTACTTCCATTTTACAGGTAATTTTAATTTGACCCACAAAAAATTGTGCGCAGTTGACCTCCGGGAATTGACGTTCTCACTCACTTTTAGAGTTCTGTAAGATTTTTTAGAGACAGTATCCCACTTACTTCCTTTTTTCCATATTGAAGACAGAGAAAGGCTACGCACCACAAAAATCCCAGCATTTGCCGTAATAGGAGGAATGTAAGGGATATTAGAAGGTCTTCACTCTGAGCACCCAAAGGGGGAAGTCAACTCAACTCACTTCAAATTTCTTTAACCCGTTACAATCCATAACTATGCCATAGAGCTTCCAGCCAATGAGGCAAACTGTACCCATAGCTTGAGAAATAAAATGTATGCTGTATTCAAAGCAATTCTTCTCAATATCAATTGGTGTTTCGCTCCACAAGGAAATTAAAAGGAGTCGAAGCATGACAGTAAATTGCAGTGAGCTCATGTTAATGGAAGGCTTTCCCTTGCAGCAATACAATGGCTGTGGCATTGTTTATTGTCGGACCAGAGATATGTGTGAAGTGGTGGCTGGAGAGCTGACCCACAGAGGGGTAGAAGCCAAAGCCTATCATGCAGGTAAGGAGTGTGGATAAAGGCAGGAAATATTGTTTGCGCTGACAGCTCTTTCTTCCCTGCCAGAGTTGTGCTTCCTTCGAACAAAAGCACTGATACCAAGCAGAACAGGAGTACTGTGTAACCTCACTAATAGCATTAGTGCAAGTGATAGACTGACAACATTCTATTTTGCTTTGAGTCCTCAGCTCACAGTTGAAGTGCAGCCATGGTTCTTGCTGCTTAATTGTGGAACCAGCTCCAGTATAAAGATGCAGAGTCAAATGTATGATAGGTTCTTTCTGTGTAGGAATACGGTAGGAGTCGACAGCGTTGCAGTGGTCAGGCAATTATGCTGAAGTATACAGCAGGCTGAAGATTGAGGCAACTTCAACCAGAAATGAAACTGTAGAAATTTTAGTTTTACATTTTGTTCTGGTGAGAATTGCAGGGATCACTGGATCTTTCACACGATTCTGCAAGCTGAAACAGACACATGGTTTGTGTGCTTGCAGGGTTAAAAACCTCAGAGCGTACAGAGGTGCAGAATGAGTGGATGCAGGGCAAAGTGCCTGTCATCGTTGCTACTATCAGCTTCGGCATGGGAGTGGACAAGGCCAATGTCCGGTGAGTGCAGATAAGTGAGAATCTCCCTCAGAATCGCCCTAGCCAGCAAAAGGGGTTGTTTGGTGTAGCTACTCAGAGGACACTATTGAATTTTGGGCTCCTGGCTGTACCGGATTGGTGGTGGTTGCCGGCTACACCTGACTGGTGTTAGGTGCTGGTTGTTCTCGGCTCTGGTGTCAAGCCTCAGTCAATGCCAGTTGCTTTTGCTTGATGCTGGGTGTGTCTGACTACTGCTGGTAACGTTGCTGTTATTATTTGTGTGTGGTTCTCCTCAGGTTTGTTGCTCACTGGAATATTGCCAAGTCTATTGCTGCTTATTACCAAGAATCTGGCAGAGCGGGGAGAGATGGAAAGCCTTCATACTGTCGACTCTATTATTCCAGGGTAGAGCGGAATCAAGTCAGCTTCCTGATCAAGAAGGAAATCACTAAACATCAGGTAAGATAATGAACTGCTGGTATTGTAGTAATAATAATAATTCTTGCATTTGACATAGTGACTTATCACACCCCTTTCAAGCCCTCTGCAGAAGTGTTTCTCATTGATGGCAATGTCTATTCTGCCAAACCAGCCTTTTCACGAATACCCCCTCGGTGTTGCCCCGGAGAATATGCAGGATATGAAGTGTGGGAGCGAATATGAAGTAAATCAAAAATAGTGGTCAGCATTCAGTTTGTCTTACACATGTTTCTAGCAGTTGTTGTTGCTACATTATACACTGCACTACGCATTATAGTAAATCCTGTGCTTTGAGACATTTTGATGGTGTGACAAGCTACTATAAGAATAAAAGGCTATTATTATTTCTAGTCTTGTCTGAATACGTAGATAGCCAATATGTGCCTGTGTTCATGATACTCAGCATTGTTATGTCTTTTGTCTTTCACAGACTAAGAGTGGCTCTCTGCAAAATTCTGACAAAGCCTCCATGGTCGGGTTTGAGACTTTGGTTTCTTTCTGTGAGCAATCTGTGTAAGTACCAACCTTGTCTGTGTTTTCTGCATCTCTTCCCTTGTGATGTGCAGTCCTGTAGTTTAGTGGTTAGAGCAATCGCCTAGCAAGCGAGAAGACCTGGGTTTGATTCCCGGATAGTGCAAATCTTTAGGCAAGTTTCCTTATTGCATACACCTCTGTTTACCTTACAGTAAGTAGGAACCCAGTTATTAGTCAATTGGTGGATTGGTTTTCTGGGGATAATAATTGCTTTTTAAAAAAAAATTCTGGTCACTCAATCCACGACTGTTTGTGGGACACTGCTGTGACAATTGGCTCCTGCAATTCGCCCACAAAATATATAGTCAATTCACTTTATTCTGTGGTTAATCAGAATAGATACAAGGATAATTAATCACAGAGTAAAGTGATTTGAGTATAGTGTATAGGCACAGATATCGTGCCTTTCACATCAGGAACGCTTAACTAAGCACTTCATAGAATATACTTTGTGTGGTGACTATTTTGTGGACATATATAATGAAACTAAAGTCAGCATATGAAACGTATGAAATATCCTTCACAATCAATCAGCAGTGGGAGACAGAAGAGTGAAAGAGAGGCTCGGCGGAAGTTAGCATTGGGGATTATGAGTGTGTGTCAAGAATGGGCAATTTGGTGAAGCCTAAGTTGCACATCATTCACTGATTCACATATTCAGTCATGAGTTAAGTGTGATCGTTCAGGTAATGAGTCTGAAAGCCGGTGCTTATAAGCATTATAGAGATTGACAAGAAACTTGTGGGGTAGGAAATGTTTAATGTACTCAGTGTTATTATGAATAACAAAACCACAAACTGCTTACATTGAAATGCTAAATGCTGTAGAAAGAAAGAACTTGCATTTTTAAAAGAACTTTGGAGAAATTACCAGCAAATGTGGTCATATTTTTGTATCCATTTGACTGACTGATGAACATATCACTTGCATGAAATTTTGTCGTAACAATAGCAATGCTTTAAATGGTATGGCACCTTTCATGTCAGGAGGACATCCCAAAATGTTCAAAGGATATTCTGTAAGGTGGAGTGACTGTTTTGTGGGTGAACCAGCAGGCAAAAATGTCACCAATAACAGCAAAAGTCAGGCACTGAGAGAGAAAGCAAATAACTGGTACTGGGTTTTGGATGTTTTTTTGCTCCCAAATCATTGTATTGCCTGATACCAGTGTTTTGTTTGTGGTTGTGATGTTGAGTTGGTGTTGGTTGTCGAGCCAGTAGTTACAATACTTGACTGGTACTCAGGGTGTCGTGCTGGTTGGTGTTTCCATAGATTCCAGTGACCAATGCTTTGTACAAGTGTCTGCTCTCGCCTGTTCAGGTAACTGCGTGTTTATTGACAGCTTAAGCAGTAATAATTTTGGGATGCTGGTCTCTTCCTCTATGAGCAGTCACATTGTCAGTTTGACTGATCTGATGAAGTCCCTTGTTTGGTTTGTCTCCTATGCTATGGATTGTTTCCAGTCAGCACACACAAGTCCCATGGTACTCAGCCACTAGTGACCACTGTGGATGGAACTTCATTCGGGACCAAGCTGTTATTCATGTGACACACAAACTATTCGGAAGCAATTGTTACCAGAACTGGCGGGGAATTCTCACTGACCCCACTTGAGCTCGTAGTGTTTGGTGGACATGGGCAGCTTCTCTCCGCTGTATGTGTCGGAGTCTTTGAGGGAATTCTTGCAGTTATGCCTTGGGCTGCAGTTTCCCTCTCTTTCTGCTCCAAAGAAAGCAAGTGAAGAAATTCACGAAGGCAATGAAGAATATCAATCCCATAATGCCTGAAACCAAAAGAGAGGAAAGTAAGCATTTGTACAGCCATGCAGTACTGTTGTGAATGCTTCTATTACACTTTTACTATGGTCACACTATCCTGTTCAGCTATTTGAAACACTGACAGACATAGGTAGTATCTATGCATTTAATATATGAATGCCCGGTACCTACCAATGAATATTAGTATGACAATCAATGATAATTTGTGACTCGCTCCGTAGAACGGTAAATTTTGGAGTTTGGTAATGAAGTTTTGATAAATATTCTTCAGATCAGTTATGATGAATGTGGTTGTCATTGTGCCAAACGAGAGGTGTGCGAATAAACCAGACCGCAGGCAAAATTCCGCTTCTCCAGAACGCAGCCGGTAACTGTATAAATGTATGGAAAATACATCAACATTATGTTACTACCATGTTTAAAGGACCCTGAGAGGCATTCAGCAGTCAGCAATCATGCCTGCTGGCTACCTGTAGTATCTTTATGTACTGAGGTGAATAATAACAATCCTTGCATTTGAATTCAAGATCCTCATCCTCACCGACAAGGCCATTTACGGCCTTGCTCCCTCCTACCTCTCCGACCTACTATCCCCCTATTTACCTGCCGTAACCTCCGTTCCTCTGGCTCCGGTCTGCTCCACATCCCCCGCCCCAACCGCCCTACCATCGGTGGCCGGGCCTTCAGCCCCAAGGCTCTGGAACTCCATCCCCCAGTGCTTTCGCCGCTTCCTCCCTTTCCTCCTTCAAGGCCGGTCTCAAGACCTTTCTCTTCGACCGTGCCTTCAGCTCCCCTCTCGACTCTCTACCCCCTCCTCGCTCCCTCCCTTCCCTCCCCTCACCATTTCCCCCCTGCTCGGGTCCTGACCCAACTGTCCAGCGCCTTGGGACGTCCTCCCGACGTGAAAGACACTCTATAAATGAAATCTTGTTGTTGTTGATATAGCCTTATACATCATCAAGACATCTCAGAGAACTTCACAGGATACACTGTGAAGTGAATTGACTATATTTTGTGGGCGAAACACGGCAGCCAATCGCTAATTAATTGAATTAATAGTTAATTGAATGATCAATTAACATGGAGGATTAATCTGGAGAACACCAAGAGAACCTCCCTTCTCTATGAACAGTAGAGCACAAAAATGCAAGGCTAGTACCATGGAATCTATAATATCCATTTCATCTAAAACACCTCAATGCTGAGAATATGGCATTCTAACCTGATGTGTTTGAACCAACACTCACTCTTCTGATCCAGATGCGAGAGTGCTATCAGCTGAGCCAAGCTAATGAACTGCTTCGGATTTAGAAATATTAATCAATGACACTCTGGCAGTCTTCAGGTGTTTGTTGGTGCTGACAGCACTGGTGTGAATGTTGTATTGTTAGACCAGCAGTCCTTATTTAGCTGTAGGGTAGTGAGAGACCTAGGAGACTGATATTGCTAACATAGCCACTGGTTTGCCAGGAGTTTCCTCAGATCCAGAGAGAAAATGAAATCACAACTGGGTGTATCTTCCCTCCACTATGAGCCTAGATATTACAGAACTGTTTCCACTCGAGCACAGTGTTTGAGAGTGCATTGATGCCATTCAGACATGAAGATCACCCCAGATTCTAACTCATCAGTTGTGCCCCTTGGCACTTTCTCTACCTCCTTTTGGCTTGCAACACATTATTTCTTGTTAGTGCTAAACTCACCACCACCACATTACTCTGAACCCAGAGACACTTGCACAGCCGAAGCTTGGTTTCCAGTGATGGTTTGACACGTTGAGTTGTTGCTTCTCAGAGATTTGTGCCATGTTCCCCTCTGCCATTTCGCTGCACGCGGGTCACTTATCAACTGGTTGTGGTGGCTAATGATCCAGTTAAGGAGCTGCGTTTATCTATGGACTCCTGTAGCTCAGTAGTTAGAGCACTCACCTCACAAATGAGAGACCTGGATTCGATTCCCAGCAGGGCGAAATGTTGGGCAAGTTTCCTTGCTCCACACACCTCTGTTTACCTAGCAGTCAGTAGGTCAGGGTAACTTCAATCCACAACTGTTCGTGGAATACTGCTCTCCTCATTGGCTGCCATGTTTAACCCACAAAATATAGTAATTCACAGTATTTTCTGTGAAGCGCTTTGTGATGTCTTGAAGACGTGAAAAGGCGCTATATCAAATATCAAAGGATTGTTGTTATTATTATTATTATTTACAATACTGTTGCGCTCCTGGATATGGTAGTAGAATAGAGGAACTGGTTGACTGTTGATTGAAGGATAAAGACAACTAGCAGTGCCAGCAGCTAAAGAATGGTATTTGATCAGCCTGGTTATCCTTGGATGACTAAACAAAAGTTTGTTATGAACACAGATGCACCCGAACAGGATAAAAAAACATTGTTATCTGCAATGTGTGAATGTGACACTACATTTAATACATTACTGTTATTAGAAATCCACTTGTTAATTATTTTCTTAACCAACAGAAAACATTTATTAACGAGTTGAGAGTGCTGTGGCTCAAGTTCCTTTTTACTCCGATCATACCTTCCAGACAGGCTTATTTTTCTTGATCCTGACACCAATGTTAGTTCAGATTTTCTCTGGGTTTTGACATCAGGACCAGATAATTCAGCCTGTGCCCGTGAACAATGCCATCCCTTCCACCCTGACACTCGTCACTTTGTAAGAAAATACTTGTCCTTTAGAAACACTGTGAGTGTGGCTGTTTTTGTTTCTTCTTGCCTTTTTTACTGACTTCTTTATTCCAGATCCTGTGCTCTCTGCACTGCTCAGACATTTTTTTTTTACTTTGTGTCACTGCAATTATAATGCGTTTTCACTTGCTATCACTTGACTGTATATTTCACACAAAATATACAGTCAATTCACTTTATAGTATATTCTGTGAAGCCCGTTGAGACGTCTTGAAGACGCAATCAGGCTCTATATCAAATGGAAGGATTATTTTATTATGTTGGGCCTTGGATTGCTTTAGAGGTTTCAGGGTAACCAACTCTAACTCTTTGCCTCTGTGTGTTGTTCAGGTGTCGCCACGCAGCCATTGCCAGATACTTTGGGGATTCGGTGCCAGCTTGCAATCGAGCATGTGATTTTTGCAAGACCCCAGAGATTGTCAGTAAGCAGCTGGATTCTCTCCATAGACTGGATCTCTGCAAGGCCCAAGCATCCATCCAAGAGCCTCAGGGGCCGTTCGGGTACATCCCTGACCTGTACGAAGGAGGAAGGAAGGGATATGGCTTTGCAAGGTGATTCATTGGGGTGCGATCTGATGGATGGTTTACCAATGCACAGTGTCCCCTGTGGGAGCATTATTATTGAAGAAGCATGGGAGCTCTTAAACGATACAGAGCCCGTATAGTGCCAATGTACCGTTACACTACAGCTTGTCTGTAGCCCATCTATGTATTAGCTACATATAGCACTGTTGGAGTCAGTTGTGAGGATTATACAAGGCCTTGCTAGTGCTGATCGCTGCATAGTGTATGTGCCTTAGCCTTGGCTAGGTGATACCAATCAGCCTTGCTGATACCGATCGCTATAGAAAAACACACAGCCCTACTTTGCTCAGTTGTTTAATGTCAGACATGGTGCTTTGGCAGTTTGGTAGAATTGGCCTCAGTTTCTGCTGAGAAGGGCACATTGATTAAGAACAAGACCAACTCTGACTGGTTTGGCTTCCACAGTTTCAGTTGGGAGACTCCGATAGCAAGTTGCTTTGAACTATTGGTTGGTTGGAGACTGAATTGGTCAATGCCAGGGAGCTGTGTCCGAGCTCAGTCTGATCTCTTCGTTACAGATATGATGATGAAGACCAGGGCGATGGATCGGATGAAGAATATAAGAGAAAAAAGGAATGGAACTCGTTTTACCAGCACCAGATGAAGATGCGTAAAGTAAGAGTGAGGCAGGAAGCAGCAGCTTTAGAAACAAAGCCATTATATAAATTAGTAACAGTGGCAGATCTGAAGATTGAGATCCGGGTGAGATTTGTACAGTCAGATACCATTATACTGTGGATCCACATGTAATGCAGTTGCACCAAGGACCTGCAGTATTTCGTCCACAGAATATAGTCAATCCACTCTACTGTGAAGCACTTTGCGACATCTCAAAGATGTGATAAGGTTCTATAACAAGGATTATTATTATGCAACTCTTCTGGCCTTTGGCACTGCCTGGCCAGCTGATTGTGCTTGATTCAGGAACGCAGAAGGTATCCTGTTGTCAGCTTTGTACCAGGAAATGCTCGGGAGATAGCCGTGACTGTCTCACACGCAAAGAGTCTCGGTGAAGACCGCGTCGACATTACCAACAAACTGATAGCATGGAAGAGCTGACTGGTGGCTAAACTATAAATGACGCATCATAATGCTCATTCTCACGGTTCCAAAGTACCTGATTATAACATGGTCCAACAGCAATTAGAACAGCACAGCCCCTGATCAGTGAATAAAATAATAATAATAATTCTTGCAATTGATATAGTTCTTTTCATGCCTTCTAGACGTCTCAAAGCGCTTCACAAAATATACTGTAAAGTGAATTGACTGTATATTTGTGGGTGAAATGCGGCAGCCAATTGTGCACAGCAATGTCCCACAAACGGTCATGGATTGAAAATGGCCAATTTTTTTGTGTTTTTTGGAGGGATTATTATTAGGCTCTGTGTGGAGTAAGGAAACTTGCCCAAGGTTTCGCCCTCTGCCTGGGATTGAACCCAGGTGTCTCGCTTGCAAAGCGAATGCTCTAACCACTGAGCTACAGGACTCCACGACTGTTTGTGGAATACTGCTGGGCACAACTGGCTGCCGCGTTTCGCCCACAAAATACACAGTCACTCCACTTTACAGTATATTTTTGTGAAATGCTTTGAGACATCTTGACGTGATTAAGGGTTATATCAAATCCAAGGATTATTATTATAATTAATATTATCTCCATTTTGACCTCTCAGTGAAGCTTATAACATCCCAGATCACAGCCTCTTTGTAACTCATTGATGAGACTGGTAGATGTAGCCAAGTTCTGTGAGCCATAGCTCCAGCTGATAGGGTAGTCCTGGGTGGATGTCTCAGTTACAATTGAGAACCTCCTGAACCTGGATGTCCTATCCTATGGGCTCCAAGTTAGGGCATTGGAGAGAAGGGACCAAGCAGGCTTGTGTTGGTAGCAGTTAGATTCTCTTCATTCACTCCTTATTTAATTATGCTTCCTGATAAACTGTATCTATTTTCTGTAGAACAAGGAAGCTGAGAAGGATAACTTTGTCTCACCAGGTTAGTACATGAGTGTTGACGTGTGAGTGTGTGTAGAGTGTTCTAATAATGCTCTGGTATACTTTGACTTGTTTGCTGAGCTAAGTCTTAGCTGTGAGAAACAACAGATTGCTTTACTTTCCTGTAATGTTTTCAAGGCAAAACTAAAATGTAACAGTTTGATACTTGCATTATAGTTGAAATGTAATGTTTGAGATTGTTTACAGGTACTAAAACAAGGATAGCTAAGGTTTGGTCCTTTAACAATGGAGTTGATAGCTCTTTGATACATTCACCCGATGTGAAAGAGTAGCATATAAATGTAAATTTATATTGTTGCAATCTTTATACTTTTGTCTGTTACCCTGCCTTCATGTGTGCAGTTATTCCTCTAAGTAGTGAGGTCCGGTTTAGACTTTATGGAATTATTATTATTATTGAATTTGGATTTTGTTTTTGTGAAGATCTTGACTGCCCTCTCCAAGATGCAGCCAGTCAGAAAATACCCAAACTTACTGTGAAGGTAAGACGTGGCAATATGTAGCAGGGGTGTGATAGAAGTGACCACTAGTAATGTCGGAACCAACGTGTAGTAGCAAGAAATATATTGGTTAATTTTCTGTGCTTCTGAATATACTCGGGATACAAAATAAAAATCAATGCAAAGCTAAGGAGCTCAGTACTCACATATGTCAACACAGTATAGGATACAACAATAGTCTTGTCATAGTTATGGGTGTTTCTGTGAAGTTCTGTTTGCTTCTGACTACAATGATTTGACTGTTTTGTGGTATTGGATGTAGAGTTAATCCTGCCCCAGAGAGGGCAATACCAATGTGGGGTGTTTGTGGTTGTCAATGGTCTGAGGGCTGATGGTTGTTGATGCGTATTTGTACATTGCCTTTATTGATAGTAAAAGTCCAGAAGAAACTTGCTCTTAAGGACAGGTTGTAGAATTGCCTATTTTGCTCTTATGCTTTCAATCTCCCTGCTTCTCCCCACCCTGCCCTCCACCCTCCCCCACCCCGACCCTCAGCTTGGGTCTGTAACTTTGTCCAGCGTCTTGGGACATCCTCTCGACGTGAAAGGCGCTATACAAATGTAATTTTGTTGTTGTTATTATTGCTGTTCATTTGAAATTGTTTCAATTTCAAATGAAAAAAACCAAACTGAAAAGGTGGCCTGAAAAATATGTTTCCTCATCACTGAGGTGTTCACAACATGAGGTCCCACTGTGCTCTGCTCTACTCTCAATGTTGGCTTGAGGGGTGAGTGTAGGTCAGATTACAGACTACTAACTGCTTTCTCTTTCTGTCTCGCTTGCCACTCACTGCTGCTCGCTGCCCCAGACACGAGAGCATTGCCTGTCCATGCTGGAAGAAGCACTGACCAGTAATCAACAGCAGGGAGCAGCAGAACTCAGCGGGTAGGTGGAGTGATCGGCAGTTGTTAGAAGGTGCTGACATCTGAGCCTCACACGTGTGTTGATCTTCTTCCTCAGTGTAGTTTGTTAGAGTTCTTGATGAATAAGAACAGATGTAGATAAACATAGTCAGACAAACATAGTTTGAATACGCAAAGCTAAATAAACACAGGCAAGCATGCACTTGTCAAATGCATCTATCTATGCCTGCTCCCTCCCCATCTTAAATGTCTTTTGATCACTATGTTGCAGTATGTCTTGTCTTTCCTGTCAGTAACGCTTCTACACCCATGTGCGTTCAGCAATGACCACCTTCTCTCTTTGGCAGAGCCCACCTTCTCTCATACGCAGTGGAAATGGAGTCCAAAGCTTTCAAAGCCAGCCGGTTAGCGAATTCATACAAAGCCACGGTACTGAAAAAGGTGCATGTCTGTGCAGGGAGATATTCACTGCATTTTTATGACTAAATGACAGAAAATGGCTGGAGCATTATCAGCAGCTGGATGTTCATTTGTTAATACACTTAGGGTATATAGTAATCTGGAAGATTGTCAGCAGAATAGTGGGAGCCTAATAATGAGGGTAGTGAGGGGACCACACATACAAGCTTAACAACTTTCATTGCGGCATTACTTCAAAGTAGTAAAATTAAACTTGGAATGTGTGTGTATATGTAATATATTTATAGCTGTACCTGTTGCAGCTTCACTTGCAACCAAAGGATCCAATGAGGAATGTAGATTGATACACGGACAGACACACAGACAGACATTTCATCTTTATACTGTGGAAGGACTCCTTTAACATATTTCCTCTCTCTCTCAGTCTCACTGCCTCAGTCTCTCTCTATTTCTCTCTCTCTCTCTCTCTCTCTCAGTCTTTCTCAGTCTCTCTCTGCCTCCCAGTCTCGCTCGCTCTCTCTCTGTTCTGTCCCACATGAGAGGACTCTAGCTCCCATGACAACCAGAAAAAAGTGTCATACATTTGTTGCAGAGTATAGATGGTGAATCTATGGTGTGTGCTTTCCTCTTTCGCTAAGTAGTTGCAGAATACGATGCATACCTCACTTTGGGGCTTAATTAAAGGAATTTTTTAATATAGCTCATCAACAATAGGCGATTCTCCCCCCCAAAAAAAAATATGGCCATGGTACTGCCAGATGCAAGACCTTTCCGATGAGGTATAAATCACGTCTCTACATCAATCGGTTATTGCACAATTGTCAGACATACAGACACGATACCAATCTTTATTGGTATAGATATATAGTTAAATGCATTTAATTGAATTATATGCACTTGGAGTCGTCCTCCCGATTTGAAAGGCACTCCATAAATGTAAATTGTATGTGGGCAAATATCATCTAACACCGCCAGTAAGATGCATCTTAATTCACCGATTGATTCTGTGGTGGGTGAGTGAGTTAGCTTGCTTCTAGGCTACATCAATCGGTGGCTTGGATCCGTGCCATTTTGAACACTTGTTAATCAAAGAATTGTTTCTGGCTGATTCCAGGTCGGAGAGATCCATAAATCAACCAAAAATGGGGAGTTGTTCTCAGTGATAACAGCAGGAGCAGACCCTACAGCCTCAAAGATGGTGAGGGTGGATAGCATGGAGGACTGTGAAGGCTTCACTTCTGCATCTCACCTCCACTGTGTGAGTTTATTCACTGCTCTGAGTGGGTTGCGATGGGAGGGGAGTATTTTATGATGTTTCCTGTTTCTGTTCTGATTTTTCCCTGTGTTGAAGGAGGATAAGTCCTTGTTATTAGCATGGTGACGTAATGTGATTCCCTGGCAGCATTAAATATATTTACACCAAGGAGTAACCTTTGTTTGACCCGTTTCTTCCTCAGCAAGTGATGCCTGCACTGTTGTATCCCTTGCTAACAGGTGATGAGGCACCCTGTGTGATACATACATAGATGCATAGAAACGGGAGTAGGCTATTCAACCTATCAAGTCTGTTCTGCCATTTTATAAGATCACGGCAGATCCATACCTCAAGTCCAGTTACCCGCCCTTGCCCCATATCCCTTAATACCCTGACCTAACAAATAGTTATCTCCATCTTGAAAATGTGACTGGATCCAACATCCACAACCTTTTGGTGGAGAAAGTTTCAGAATTCCACTACACTTTGGTAGTGATCCTTGTCGCTGACCTCCATCCACTGGTCATTTAACTGTGAGAACGGGACTAACCTTCATTCACTGATTGCTGCACCAGGAGATGCTAATACGTTTGTTTGCATTTCACGTGCAGTTTAAGCAAGAGCGATTTGGAGAGGGGAGTCTGATCTCATGCAGCAAATTCCAGACTGCAAGAGAAGTGCTGAAGAGTTCTGCGCTTGCAGATAGTGGCAAGCAGAAGGGAAATCGGTCCGAGGAGCCAGGTGACTGCCTGAAGAGAACTGGGAACGAGGAAGGTGTCGGAAAGACCAATGTAGATTGTTGTGAGGGACCAGCCCAATCTTCCTCTTTCTGTCCCAGTTTCGGGAAGAAGAAACTCACCAAAAAAACATTGCAGCTGGTGGAGAGTGCCAAGAAGGACTCGCAGTCCATTACCAAGTTCTTCCAGCAGAAAATATTAGCGAAGGTGGCAGAGGCTTCAGACGAGCAAGGCAGTCAGGGCGGCAATGACCTTGTTACTGACACACAAGCGAAAGAGGACCTTAAGAGAGGATCCAATTGCACTGTGACTGCAGGAAAAGCGACTTGCCCAGATCTGGATAAAGTAACTAAGACTGTAAGCATGGAGAGACTCAAAACCACTTTAAGATCAGCCCCACCAGTCGAGTGCAGAGAACACAGTGTGTCCCGTGAACATGTGGTGAGAGGCCTGAGGTAACTCCAAGCTGACAAGGCTCCTTCCTATCCTGTCACATCCCTTTCTTTTGTTCTATTTCTTTAAAACCTGAAGCTATTTAATCTAGCATTTAGCTGTACTATACCGGATGCCTCCAAGCATTAGTATGTGTTTCAGATATGAATTGGCTGGCATTCATTTTTGTAAAGCACTGAAGCAAAGATGTAGGTGATTCCAATCGGTACCTGTTCAGTTTGGGTGCCAGGTTCAGCTGGTGCCACTCTGGCATTTACTGCTTTGGCTCACAGAGGTGAGGACATGTTTTTCATTGCCAGGGTTTACTGCTTACTCAGTCAGCTCAGGTTTGGGAGATCCTCCTGTTTACTCTGCACTATTTAAAGTTGGGGAAGGAATAGATCCATAGAAATGATTGTACAAAGTTCATCAATGGGGCAAGCCTGTACCATTGTTCCCCTTCACTTCTATGTAAGGGCCGAGCTGGTGTGTTCAGAATAAGTGGGGCCAGATTGTATTTGTTCCTCCTGCACGTCAGTTTGTGATCCTTTTAAATTTGTTCAAAACTTCATATCAATGAAATAATAGTGCAAACTCAGTGAAAGTTTATATTGTTCGTCTATGTAGATTATTACAGTGATTTGACTTCAAACCAGCTGCAAGACTTTTAGTAGTTTAAAAAGTTAGCAACGATACAGTAGCTAGTTTATACCTGGTTTACAATTTACGCATTGTAAAGCTGAGCTGTACTCCCCCAGGGTCGATCGAACAAGGGTAGTTAATGCAGTTAGATTTTAAAATTCACCTACAGTCTAGAATCTTGGAATGATCTGGAGCCAGTAAATTGTAGCACATCTGTAGAGCAGTCAGTCACCTTCCCCTGATGACAGAATCAATGTTTACCGCTTTTCTTCATCTTCGTCATATATTCTAGATATTTTGCCCAATGTGCATAACCATGTTTTGTTATTTCACCAAGTGCCATAGGGAGCAGTATGAGGGAAGTTGCCATCGGTGTAGCCAGTGAAATGGAAGACACTTTCCCCTCAGCGTGTAAGAAGAGACGAACATCAACTGAAGTGAGCCCCTGAGCTGCCTGTTACTCTGACTTGCGCTCTGTTACTCTGACTCACGCTCTGTTTCATGACCAGGCCTTAATTTAACACCTCCGTTGTTTCAGGGAGTGGCAGATCCATGCCTAAAACGCCAGCGAACCGGAATAAATGGTTCCAACGTTTGTCCTGCGGTCAGTAAAGGCAGTCAAAGGAAGGTCACCTTTGACTTTGTTCAACCAGAAAAAGGGAACAGTTGTTCGGTGCCTGCAACTGCGCCTGTGCTGAAAGGGGAACAGCTCAAGCAGACAGCTGACATTGTAGTCAAATATCTGACCCCCTTTTACAAGGAAGGAAGGTTTGCTTCTAAGGTAAGACCCAGCTTTCAGTACAGCCCGAGGGGAGAGAGAGGGCAATGTTGATGACATCCTGGTTGTCAGTGGGACTTAGAAGTGCAGACCAATTCACTTTACTTGCCAGGCAGTGTTCTAATTGATTATGCTCAAGCAATACTCCAATGTGCACTCTGCAGTCCCCAGGCCTTGACTTGCCAGCCTACACCTCATACCTTTCAGAACTCGTTGGTGGAGTGTGTTCCTCTGGTTGAGAGAGTAAACACTCCATTCCAGACAAAGGAAATTTCTATGCATATGTGGAACTCTCAGTAGTTTAGTTTGGATACTCTTAAGCATGGTTTAGAGTTTTCATTGTGATTGATACCAAAAAAGTCCTCACTAGTACGATATTAACTAGAAAGGGCAGATCTCAGCATGACGTGATGATTTGGGTACATCTGAGTGAGTGCATCATGATGTACAGCGGAAACTCAATGTCCTGTTTTCTCTTGGTGCGGTGTCTCATTAATTAGCTTGGGATTTTAGACATGATCTGATTCAGGTGGGGGTGGGGGAAAGAAAAGACTGAAAAGGTGACCTGATCGGTGTGAGTTAATCGAAACCCAGGGAATTGTCCATTTATTTGTGTTCCATAGGAACTCTTCAAAGCATTTGCTCGACATCTCTCTCATTTACTGGCCGAAGAGAACTTGAAGAGAAATGGTATGTATGGCTCGCTCTTTTTCTCTGAGCTTCAGTGTTGGCCCGGAGAAACTTCAACGTGCACAGAGATGTCCTATTCTTTAGTTCTCTGTTGTATCAGCCTCTCTGCCCCCACCTTCTGGAACAATCCCACAGTCCCTCCGCCTCACCCCCACCTTTGCCTCCTTCAAGACCCTCCTTTTCAACCGTGCCTTTGGTCACAGTCCTACCCCTATTCTCCCCGCCCTCCACCTCTCCTGATCCCAACCACCAGCTTGGGTGTGAATCCCTGACTGTCCAGCGCCTTAGGACCAGAAGGGTGCTATGCAAATGTAAGTTGTTGTATAATGTTGTTTTGCTGCTCTTTTCTGTCAAAACTACAGATGCATTCCAGAGAAGGGGAAAGCAACAAAGCTGATTCCCTAGTTTTGGAAGCTCTCTATGTTAACATGAACAGTATTAATTTGCTCTATTAGAATCGCTATATATTGTGGGTAGATGTAGTGGACTTGAATCACTGTCTTGTGCTGGCCATCTCTCAAATCATCATGCTCCCTTTGGCTGCTTATAACCCATGTATTTAATATATTGCCAATAATGAAATGTCTCAAAGCTCTTCATCAACTGTAGTTACTGTATTTGTAAGCAAATGCGTTAGTAATTGTTTGTGGATTGCAAATGTTTCACAAGCAGCCAATAAGTGAATGAGAAATTGTATTTAGAGAATTGTTGGCCAGGATACTGAGAGACTTCACTTTTCAAACAGTGCCATGGGAATATCCACCTAATCAGGCAGACCAGAACTCGATTCAATGCCCCATCCAAAGGATAGCACCTGTAATAATGCAGCTCAAACTTAGCATGAGTGTCAGCCTGAATATGAGCTTGAAGCCCCAACATGGAGCTCTAATACTAGACTCCTTTCTGTCAGTGTGTCACTGTTGTGCTCTGGTATACTGACATTGTGCTGTTCTGGCTCTTCTCACACTGATGCTCTGCTCACTTCTACCCTTACGTTGGTGTAGTCTGTATCTGAAGATAATAAATTAGTTACAGCAGTGAGATTGATATTTGATTCCCTCTGTCCCTACAATCAGATTGCTGCTCAATTCCCGTTAAATCACCGGAAGATTACATTGCAAATTGCATTTAGATGTTGAGTACTTGTTAAATATCAAGAGTTCCCTGATTGCTAAACAAGCTTTGATTTTAACTTCACCTATAAATGTCTTACAGTTAAAGAAGAAGCCCAGCGACTCATCCAGGCCTTTTTTAAACGCTGCAGGAAATGTGTGAGTGAGAACGACTGGAGAAGTCTACAGTCATCATAGCCAACAGACACACTCAAGGCTGTTTGGAAGCTGGTTGTATTTTGTGTTAATGGTCTGAATGTTAAATTAAATGCCTTCAGCATTCAGTTGCTTATTCTCAGGTACTGAAAATTGAGATCAAGGTTGATCTATGCAGTCCAGCTAGTCATTTAATTGCTCTTTAACGGCTCTCCGCATTTTCTCTTTGGAGGGCTCTCCTCCGATGGATCAGCGGACATACTTCCTGTAGGTCCAGTATTATTGTTATTATTACTATTATTTGGAAATTAATGAGGCTGCTAATCTGTACCAAAATAAAGTTTATTTTTGAACAGTTTTGTTGGATAAGATGCTATTGAGTAAGTCTTTCATCAGGAAGAGTCGGAGACTTAAAGAGCCCGTGTGACCCTTTCCTTGTGTATTGTCAGCTCTGTGTCTGTGCTGTAAGCATTGTCTAGTCGCAATGCGTTCTGCTCCATGGTAAGATCATTCACCAAGACTGCTGGACCAAAGCTTATTTGTCTTCTCAGTAGTTTGTGCATTGGCCTAAGATCTTGGCTTCTATTTTAAGTTTCACAATGTTGTTAGAGAGTGTGGGTAAGTGCTTCCTGGCAACAAGCATTGCAATTTCAGGAAAGGTTTTTGTCGAAATCAAAGTGAATTAGGCAAATCTGGAAGGTGTGAAACTGAAGGGATGTGCCCAGAACCAGAGATCGAAATTATGGTGAGACTTGCACTCTCTCCATTTACTCTGAACCTTTCATAATTACAGGCGACATCGGATTTGGAAACAGTCACATTTGACCATGAACTTGTTCCAAAATAGATGGTGACTGTGTATCAACTTCCAGCAAGCAAGTTCAAGACCACACAGTGTTCAGCTTCAACTGCTACTTTTATTAACGACTATTGGTTTATTTTACAGTGGAGTTTGTCACAGCTGTTCTTCACAGCTCAATATTCCAGTTGAATCTCAATACAACAACAAATTAGATTTCTATAGTGCCTTTCACATCAGAAGGATGTCCTAAAGCAATGGACAGGCAGGGATCCGCACCCGAGCTGGTGGTTGGGATCAGGAGGGGTGGAGGGCAGGAGGGTAGGGGTCGGAGTGTGACCGAAGGCACAGTCGAAGAGGAGGGTCTTGAGACGGGTCTCAAAGGAGGCAAGACTGGGGGTGAGGTGGAAGGAGTGGGACGAAGTTTCAGAAGGTGGGGGCGGAGGCTGAAGGCCCACCCGCCAATGGTGTAGGAGCCTGGTCTTGTTCACAAATAAGACAGCCTCCTTAACCATCTCACACCTATTCCCATTGACTGAAGCCACTGAATGGGACTGGGAGGATAGAGGTAACATGAGTTGGAATGGTGTCTCAGGTTTTCTTTGTTGCTGCTAAAATTCATTGAAAACTTTTAGTAAATAATATTTCAAACAGTTATTAGGAATAAACTGGTATTTCTTTAAAAAAAAGACTTTGGAGTCTGGCTTATATTTTAGAAATTTACAGATAGACTGATGTTAAATGAGACTCGTACAGAACAGGACAGTGTAACTCTACATGATCGCATGTTGATTTGAGCAAAGCAAGAATCAGTTCAGCGTCAGCTTCAAGACTCCCAACGTCTTCAATCTCTGTCGATTGTGGTCACATGCTTGGATGAGATGAAACCGTGTCCAGGATCATCGCAATTGTGTGACACAGCTCTCTGGCCTGAAGGAAGTAAAATGATACTTGTCACATTATAAGCACATATATGCCCTCCCCCAGTTTCTCCCTCTGCATGCGAATATTAGTTCATACTAGCATACACTTCCACAAGTGCTGCCTTATGGTGCTTGACCCAAGGTTATCACAACCGAACCCAGGCTTGTCTTTGCTGAAAGCTCCTTTTCCAATTGGGCATTTGCTTAGAGCTCAGGGACGCTACAATTAATTGTTGTACTCTGTCCTTGTTCTTATTGAGACATTCAAACTTGAGCAACGTCCTGAGGATTGAGCTCAGGATCTGTCTGAACTGGTCAGCTCCGTGGAGCGCCACAAGATGTGGTATTCTAATTGGGGGAACTTGCAAACATTCTCTAAAATCACTGACTGCTTTAGTCAACTAGTAAGTGACTTGAAGTGGATAAATAGAGACTGTGAACATCCTTCTTGCTTGGCTTAACTTCACTGTGTTGACGTCATTTCCCCGAAACCACAGTGATTCTGAGTTAACAACCAAGGTTCCCTTCTAACCTCATAAATCAACATATCCATCCATCTTCCACCTGCGTCCTAAAAGTCTCAGAATCTTATTAACACAGAAAAATCTCAAGTTTGTACATACTTCCCATAATATGTGTCATTTTGCTACAAACCCATTTCCTACCTCTTTCAGTTCAAAGGAAAATGTCCGGGATATGCCTGCAGATCCGTAATTAACTTGCACCCCAGGTAATTTTGATGTTTCCGATGGGCGTAAGGTGCACATTGTCACGATTTCCTTCAGTGGGATTATCATGAGCTGGTCCTGTAAGACATTGTACAGATCTGTATAAATGTGTCACATTACCAACAACATCAATAAAACAACTGGATTAATTCCATATAAATAGGCAGTACAGGAATATGGCTGTGGTCTGTAATTACTTGTGTATGGCTGCCTTAATTCTTCAAAATTTGCCAGCATTACTGCAGTATACGTTGTGTAACTTCTGTCTTACTCCACCCCTTCCACCCCACCCACCTGATGTGCAGAAAAGGCTTTAATAGAGAGACTGAGATGCTGGTCATGTGAATGTTACTGTACCTTGGTATCCTTGTCTATGACTATGAGATGTTGCTGATTGATGGCCACGAGGCAGGGATTTGGAATTTGAGGGTTACTGGTCTTCTTCACTGTGAAGATATTGTAACCAAACAGGCTCATGCTGCTCCCTGTGGCTGAGTGGGTGAAAAGGAAAAGGTAAGTCTTAACGCCTGACCAGATCACTACTCTGAATGTTGTTTGGAATCCAAGGAACCCTCTCCTTGCACTACATTGACTGTCCAACTGATCATTGTGTTAGGATTGTCTATCCCGTGGGCACCATCTGGACTGCCAGAGTCATTGTCTCAGGCCTAGTCTGGGCTGCCCGATCCGTGAGGCTGTAAATTATTAGTAAATTAGTCTCAAACACTCTTTGACCATGCCTTCGGCTACCCTCTCTGTCCTCCACCCTCCCTGACCCCAATCCATCCTTGCTCAGGTCCAAATCCTTGACTGCCTTGGGACGTCCTGACATGAAAGGCACTATACAAGTGTAATTTTGTATTGTGTATAATTTAACTTCATTGAATATGAAATACTGTCTGCCTGGTAATTTAAGATATGTCCTCCTTGTCATTCAGACTTGGTACATCCTACAAACCTAATTTAAGTAGGCCATTCTACCTCTTAGCCCTTGATGGTTCTACAAGAGGACTATCAGACAATGAAAAACTACCATTAGCTATAACCTATGTTCAATGTCAATGGGCTCCCAAACTTTCTTTGACTGGGCATTTAAGCACTTCTAAATTCCCATTCCAAGAGCAAGGAGACTTTCCATTTGATGACTGACATGATGGTTTTCTCAGTCTGATATAAGGCCAAGTGATTTCCACAGGAAAGAGAAAACAGTAGTCATTCATATCAGTCTCTTGGGCATTTGAGAGAACGCCATTGTCAGAGTCCTAAGAGCAGGTCCCAGGCTCATTCACTGAGGCTGCAAAGGGGAAAATGTATGAAAAACCTTAGGGAAAGGAAAATACTATACAGATTATTATACAAAATAACAGCTTTTAATTTATAACAGGTATATTTATTGAGACCATCAGGCTTATCGGTCTTGCTGCCTATATAGTTGATTGCATGGAACTCAGTGTTGAATTAATAATAATAATGCGTGCATTATAATAATAATAAATAATCCTGGCATTTGATATAGACCTTATCATGTCTTCGAGACGTCTCAAAGTGCTTCACAGAATATACTGTAAAGTGAATTGACTGTATATTTTGTGGGCGAAATGTGGCAGCCAATTGCACACAGCAGTGTTCCACAAACAGGCGTGGATTGAGTGACCAAATAATATTTTTTCCTCTTGAGGGATTATTATCAGGCATGTGGAGTAAAGAAACTTGCCCAAGGTTTCACCCTGCCAGGAATCAAACCTGCGAGGCAAGTGCTCTAATCACTGAGCTACAGGACTCCACACTATATCACGTGATATAGCGCCTTCTTGTTGGGACATCTCAAAGCGCTTCACAGCATAAATGCAAAATTAAATAACAAAGTTAAATTAAGCTTTATTGGAATATTTTACTGAGCAAAAACTAGACAATAGCAGAGAGAGGCACAAGATACATTACAGACATTATACACAAACTGCAAACCCATAAGATACAACAGCTGAGTCAGTCGATCTTTCTCTGAGTGTCCTTCCCAAACAATACAAACAGACATGGCATAACAAGAAATAAACTTCTATCTAACTGATACCCTTACCACACAAACAAACCATGGTTAGCATTGGTAAGTAAGAAATAAATTGCATTTTGTTTTATATAAGCACCTTATTTATCACATTAAGACATATGGAGTGATCGTGTTTGCAGCCATCATGCTCACAGAATACCCAACAAACAACAAAATGTGTAGCCAATTAATTTTTTTAAAAGTTGGGTGAATTTGGATGAGGTGAGTGAGATAACAGAAAATTAGCTTCAAAATAAAGGCAGTATTTAAGCATCAAATTCTAAAATGATACACAAATAGAGTAATTCCAGAGTAAATAGAGGATTTTTCTCCTCCTGAGTGTTAAAATTCAAACATAATTTACATTCAGATTCTGTTACACAAAAGAGTTGCGTCATTCAACAAATGGTTTAAATTGAAGCTAATACAAACCAATATTCTAGAAAGTGGGAGATGAAAGAGCTATTATTTGTTACAGCTACCAAGGGGGTAACAAATAGTAGCTCTCTCATGACTGAAAGACTAGAGGAAGAGACCTCTATACTATGGCAGAGGGGCTTTCTCAAGAGATTCAGACCTTGTGTTACACTACTGTATAGGAATTGGAGCAACAGTAAGTACAACACTCAGAGATTTCAAGACCTTAGTGAGTGTGACCCGAGTGGTAGAGGATTCACTGTTCAGTGCTCTAAGGAAGTAATGTGTTAATGTGGATAGCATTTCACTGAGTAGCATTCTCAGATAATGGGATATGAGATAACATTTTTCTTGCTTCGTCATTCCAGAGGCACTTACTTAGGAAGCGGATCTTGGCTTCGATGGGTTTAAGCTGCTGCATTGTGTTGAGTTGATGGACGATTTGTTGCTGGATTGATTGTACATCCAACTTTGTTGCTCCAGTTTTAGGGAGATATTCCTTAATTTCCTGCCTGCAGAGTAAAGCAACCACATTATAATTCAGTCTTTAAACTACCTGATCTCACTACCATATGGATGGATGGTGTAAGCTATCTTACCAAGCGCTATTCTCTAACTTCACCTTTTTCCCTGTACCCAGTAGTTACTTGCTACTACAGTTCCTTATATAATTATCCATCGTTTCCTCTGATGCTGATAATTTCTAATCCTATTTGGAGGACTTTTCCTCCTTCACTATTCTAGCTTCTCAATGTTGTTAGACTACTCTCCTGTGCGAATTGATTTAAATTAAAATGGACTAAATTAAAATAATTTAAATTATAAAATAAAAAATAATTAAAATCTGGTTTCATTTGAAATTAAAATAGACTAATCTTCTGTGCCAATTGATTTCTCTTAAATTGGAGTTGAGGAACAGATCAGCCATGATCTATTAGAATGGCAGGAACTGGCTCAAGGGACAGAATGGTCTACTCTTCCTATATTCCTATTTATACAAAAGCATTGCTAAAATTTAAATACCTCACCAACACTCACTGCCACTACTCAGACATGTATAATGGTCAGTACACATGAAATCATACCCCAATAGAAGGAAAAATGCCTTTTAAAAAACTAGAACGGGCAATGGAAATTGAAGCAGAAAAAATGGCTGTGGTTTTGTGAGAAGGAGTTTGGCAAATAATTTGTGTTCAGGGAGTAGATGACAGATGACAGCTAGCACAAATTACACAGTAATGGGTTATAGTGCAGTGTGAGGATGTAAACAAAGGAGCTAAAGGTTTGCAAAGAGGTAAATACCTCTCGAAGATATCGGACGAACACTTGAGAATAATTTTTCTTACAAACACAGTATTTGAAATAATTACAACTCCGATCAGATAGAATAATAATAATGATCATTGCATTTGATACAGTGCTTGAAATGTCACAGAGCCTTTTACAAATAATTCCTGTCTTGTGAAGCCATTGCATATTTGTAACATTTCGCCCACAAAATATAGTCAATTCACTTTACAGTATATTCTGTGAAGCATTTGGAGACGTCTCGAAGATGTGATAAGGCGCTATATCAAATGCAAGGATTATTATTATTATTTGTGTATTGTAGNAAAAAATCCTTCGTTAGAGATCCTGGAGAAGACATCATTATAAATCAATGGACTGGCCTCTGTGGTTACAGCACTCACATGGATGGGTTAGTTCCTGCTCCTCCCGATTTGTGCTGACAGGCTGCAAGAGTGGCAATCATTTCTTCCATCTCATTGATGTTGTTTGGCAATATAAAGTTACCCTTGAGGTATGTAGGAAGCATCTGAAAAGCAACGAGAGCACCAGCTTAGGTTAAAGAAAGCAAGAGCACAAGTCACAAAGGAGGTGGAGGTACAGAGTTCCAGACCTACCTGATTATAATGGACATCGACATACAGGTCATTGTAAAAATGGAAAGGCTCTGACCACATTATGCGGTGAAAAAAGAGATTGACTGAATTGTCATCCAACAGGAAATCAAATAGGTATTCTTCCAATCTTAAGGGTCTCATAGAGCGCCCTGCAAAGAGAAAAGGTGGACACTCATAGATGTAATATTTATTTACTAGATAGATATTTGGGGAGGACAAATTTGCAGGACTATGGGGAGAGCGTGGAGGAGTGGGATTAATTTGGATAGCCATTTCAAAGAGCTGGCACAGACACAATAATGGGCCGAATGGACTCCTGAGCTGTATAATTCTATGATTCGAAAGCAATCTTATTTCTGCATGGGAAGGTGATCATAAGATGAGCCACACTCCACCCGCTCTCTTTTTCATCAGTGAACAGATCTCTGTTAGGCCTTCCTGATCGGTCACATACCTTTCTTCTTCTCAGCAAAAATAGAAAATTCCTTGGTTTCCTCAATATCTTGAATCCCCAGCGTGGAACAAATCTCTAGTACAACGTCATTCGCTATCTATAACCAAACACAAACACATTAAGCTCCTTTATCTACTCCAGAGCCAGGTTCCCACCAGCTCTGTAACAATCACTCTCTACCCATTTTGGCATGATAATTTTCTGATAACATAAGAAATTCCAGAGGCCTTTCTTTAATGTCAAATATAAATTTACAATTATATAGCATCTTTCATGCCAGGAGGACATCCCTAACCTTTTCAGATCTTAGTTCAGGCAGATCTCACAATGGCACTTCCAGTACGAATCCAGAAACACCAACTGGTTGGGCCGAGTTGCCCATTTCCATGCTGTACGTTCTTTCTAAAAGTAGTAGTGCACTCTTTAACAAATGTATCCCCATTAGGAGATTAAAACTCAATCATACAAGTGATAAAGAAGATAGAAAACTCTCAATATCCTTTGATTAGTGTACCACATTGATCGTGGTACAGCTATTCCTTCTCGCACAGTGGAAGCTATAATGGAACAGTTTCGGCCACAATATATACGGTCAATTCACTTCACGGTATATTCTGTGAAGAGCTTTTACGCATCTCAACGACATGAAAATAAGCTATATCAAATGCAAGTATTATTAATAATAAGCTTCTCCGAGAGGCCGTCAGGCGTGAAGGGCGCTATATAAACGCATGTAATGGTTATTATATAATGGAGTGGCTTGCGCGCAGGAAGAAAGAGGTATCCATCCCCAAAACCCACTCTCCTGCCCTCGGCTTCTAGTTATGTAGACGTACTGAGAAGGGTTTGATCCTGGCAGTGTGCTTCAACTCCCCCGGCAGCTGAATCGCAATCCGCCGTGAGCTTCGTCCTTTCTGTTGGGCAAAAAACACCATGGTTTAAAGGGTGCACAACACACAATGCTGACAGGCTGTCAAAGGTGAGCTTGGTGCCTGATAATCCGTAGCCTGAAAATCCAGCAAATGATGAAACCCCATCAGCAATATTCAATGATCAAAATATCCACTCACTCTGCATCCCATTCATAGCCGGTGCCCAGCCACTCAATCCTTTGTTAAAGTTCATCATCTGAACCCTGAATAACTAATGAGCAACTACACATCAATGTTAGGTCTCCGGTTCTCTGTACTTATGCCAGTGTTCTGTCCCTTGCTTTGACTGCATTGGCCACCTTCCCTCTTCCCCAAGACAATGTGGTCAGTCACAGTACCGTATGGCACTTCAACTCACCATAATGGCATCCAGTTCCAGGGTGGATGGCATGTTTCGGCGGCCCCCAAACTGTATTGTGCGGTGCAGGTTTTCCTCAGTGGCCTTCGCTACCTCTGTAAGAAGAACGACACTCGGTATTTAGCAGTAGGAATGGAGCAGCGTCTCTTTATGTCACCTCTGTAATACTGTTCCTTTACCTCCCCCATTGAATACAATATGTTAGAGATCTCATGTAAATGCTGTGAATAAGGTGAGGCAATCCTCAGCCTCCTCACTGTACCTTGGTAGTTATGGAGAGGGTTGGAAACGATTTCCTGCAGGTATTTCAAGACATAGGGTCTCAGGTTTATGGATAAGTTGTAGAAGCCCAAGAAGATGTAGAGTGCTCGCCAGCCTCGGATGCAGCTTTCTCTGTACAAAGAAATGAGCCACGTCACAGCCCTTCTAATCATATTTAAAGCCCAATTCTGTTCAAATTCCAGTGCAGAGTTGGCCAGCACCCAAGGAAATATATCAGTCAATATTTATGTGGAAAGTGTATTGCGTGGATCCTCTTGGAGTTGAATGAATGGGTCTCTAGCCCCTTTTTCTGTCTTTCATATCTATGTATGTGATACATTCTCCTGACTGTACATTCCAACAGATTAATTTTCCAGACTCATGCCCTTCCACACTTACCATAATAGAAAAGAATAATAATCCTTGCATTTGATATAGCTCCTTATCACATCTTTGACATGCCTCAAAGTGCTTCACAGGATTTACTGTAAAGTTGATTGTGTATTTTGTGGGCGAAAAGCGGCAGCCAAATGCGCACAGCAGTGCCCCACAAACAGTCATGAATTGAGTGACCAAATTACTATTATTATCCCTGGAAAGCGATCCACCAATCAACTAACAACTGGGTTCCTACCATAGCATTCATTAGATCTATTCTCACAACTTTGTACTGCTATTGTATTGTGTAGCACTTGCTAATTGGAGCCTGGCTACACAGGTTCTCCTCAAGTGTCACCAAGAGGAATACAAGAGTGGATGATGATTAAATCTGTTCACTCATAGACTCTTTGATTGAGATCAGGAACCCATGGGAAGTGCAAGGTGCTGAGACAGTACGTGACTGATTGCTGCACTGAGCTCAGATTAGGGAGTGGCTAAACCACATTAATAGAGAGCCCTGGTGAAGCAAGTGTGAGACAATTACCTGCTGGCAATCAGCTATTTACAAGACTGAATGATTGAATAATTGTGAAATGAGTGTGCATAATTTACATGCTGATTCAGAGCTGCTGAAACAGTGCATGAGATGCAGAGGGATACCCCTACCTTGAAGGGTTATCTGTGACCTGCTTAATGAGTTGACAGCAAATCTCGTCCTGAAGACTCTCTTTCTCCTTACACAGCTACAAGGAACAGAAAGAGGACATTGAGTTTCAACAACAAATGAAATCTACGTCAATTACAAGAGGAAATGATTTCAGAGATGAGGACTAAACTTTCTATTCCCCTCACTCCTCCAGAAAATGACAACTGGTAATGTATATGTTATATGTTACGTATTAGGCATTATGGTTCAACAGGTGACCCACTAGTACCTCCTCCCCAAAGAGACATTACTTCATGTGAAGTGTAAGGATCACAGCCCAGCCTAATCCTGACCTTTTTTAGTCAGCCAGGTGTCTGATACATGTGGAAACCCATCACAGTGCTAAAGAGTATCCAAACCAAACTGAGAATTCCATACATCCCACCTACATGTGGAAATTCCAGAGATGTTTATTGGAATTGAATGCGCTCTCTCTCCCTGGAGGGACACATCCTGTTTACCTAATCCCAGAGAGTATTAGGCGCAGGTTGGCAAGAGCCAAGGCTTGGAGACACCAGAGTGTGAGTTGGGGTAACTGCTGGAGCTAAAACTGCAGGGCTTGCTTGCCATTGATATTGCTGCCCTGACCTTGACAAAGGGACACGGGAGCTTCAGCAGGAAATATAGTCAGGGAACAGAGATGTAAACCTACAAGAGGGAGGGCGAAGGAGCAATGAGTTCACCTGAGAAATAATCCAATTTCACAAGAGGGAGACTTACCCGCAGCATGTTTTGTACAAAGTCTCTTTCAGGCTCTTCCTTCTGAGATTGCTGATCACCCATAAACCTCATCAGATCTGCAGAAACAAAGCCAGGCGAATAATTAAAACCTGACAAACGTATTTTAGCGAAAGGGCTATATTGAGATATCACGTAACATCAAGGTTGTTCGTCAAAAATATCATCTGCTTTGCTTCAATACGTTGTTGGGCTCTAACACAGGGGAGGAGAGTTGGTGCAATGAAAGGTGAGGGGCAGTATTACTAGTGGTCCTTTCCACAGTTTGGGTATGGTCAACGCCTTGGGAAGTCCTCTCGATGTGAAAGGTGCTATGCAAATGTAATTTTGTTATGCACGTGTGTGTAAGTTGCATTACTCTCTCACTCACCATTGAAATTCTTTGCACCAAGTTCACTTAGTTCCTTGTCAGTGAAATAAATGAGTGACTCCTGGATTGGAATCTGTAAAAAAAAAAAAAAAAAAAATGTATTTGTAAGAGATCAAAGATATTAATTGTATACATTTTTCACTCCTGATAACATTACCTCCTTTCAGATACAGGAGCCATGGACAGTGACAGACCGGTAACCTATCTTGGAGACCATCATTTTAGCAACTGAAACAAGGGCATATACTTTAGAAACTATTTTGTTGGGCACTTTAGCAAGGACCAAATCGGATTAGGGTATTATCCTCACTGAGGTCAAGCTTAGTACTCCTAGTACCTCTTAGACATAATAGACCAAGATCAACTAATTCAGAAAACATCTGCAAGGTTTCCTGATCTGTATAACTTCATATCCCATCATTTACCCTCTGAGCCATCAATAGAAGTGCGCCTACAGTATACAGTGTCACCACACTTTACTGCAAATCCTTGGAAGCACTTTGAGACATCCTCCCAACTTGAAAGGTGCTATAACAAATGCAAGAATTATTATTAATATTGTTATTATTATAGAACCTGCTACACCTTCTTTCTGAACAGGTGTGCGCACATGGGTCTGTACTAGACTGTTAGTGACAGATTAATTCAGTTTTAACTTTAAAGCTCATTTTCTGCAGTTTAAAGAATTTGTAGAAAAAAACGTTTGGAAATTAAAAGACTTTTTAAGACTTTGACAAATTCTGAATCCTCTGAAATGCTCCATCAATCGAGAAAACCTAGACCCAGGTGGGATTTTAGCCCAATCGACGCTTAAATGAAGTTGGTTAAATCTTAAGAGTGGATGCTGCTGCTTTTCCCCCCCCATAAGCAGCATTGTGTAAGCATGTGAGCAGCTGGCTCTACGCAATCTGCTGAGCTCACTTCCCCCGCTTCCAGCCCAACACCAAACTCAGCTCCCACCTTTGTGTGCTGCACCAGTTGGGCAGCTTTCTTTCCTTCAGCGGCCATCCCCTTCCAACCAAGCCTAAAATCAGACGAATAATAAAAGATCAAATATTACGGACTCATAATCCATGTGCACCAAGTGTTTAAACAGTCGGATGTCTAACCCATGCAATGTTTGAGAGTCTCTAATTCTGGACACTGAGAACTCTTGAGAAGTCTCGAAGATGTGATAAGGGCATTATATTAAATGCAAGGATTACTATTATTAACTTGGCGAGGACAAGTTTGCAGGGCTATGGGGAGAGAATGGGGCAGTGGGATTGATTTGGACAGCTCTTTTCAAAGAGCCGGCACAGACATGATGGACCAAATGGCCTCCTTCTGTGTTGTATAATTCTATGATTCTTTTAACTCAGTGAAGCAGAGTTTCAGTAGGTCAATTCTCTTATTTTCCATATGTATAACATATGCATGACTTGGATTAGGTACAGGGAAGCATGGTATCTAAATTTGACTTATGGAACCTTAGTGTCTCTCAGTTCATAGCATTCTGTGTCTCTCACAGAATCTGTGTCAAAATCTCTCTTTCTCTGATCAACATCAAGATGCTCTACCAAAACAGAGATTCAAAAAGACAAAACTGTAAATTTCGCCCACAAAATATGCAGTCAGCTCACAATATATTTTGTGAAGTACTTTGAGATGTCTCAATGACTTGATAAGTCTGTATATCAAATGCAAGGATTATTATTTATTTGATAATGAAGGTTTATACGCTTTGTGGTGTTTTAATTTGACCGTGTTGCAGAGCGTCCTGTCTGGAGCTAAATCCTACCCATCCTAATACTTACGTGGCTAAAGGCTCCCGGAAGTACTTCATGCCAAATTCTGTCATTAGGTATGTGCTGCCCCCAAAAGACGTGAAGGAGGAGGAGGAGGAGATTCTTGATTTGATTGTTTCCGAACCTCCAGTAGATATTACCTTCTGAAATAACAAACCGTGCTGGTTCCATTAGCACAAAGCCGCCAGAAAAACATCATGAGCAAAGCTAGTCTCAAATAGACCAACTTATTCCCCCCCCACCCCCCTCCCTCATGGGAGCATAATTGTTAGTTGGTCATTTGGACAGCTAACAAGCCCACGTTCAAGCTGTTTGTAGATGCCTTCGGTCACCTTCCTTTCCCTACCCTCCTCGGCCTCCACCCCTCCTGATTCCAACCACCAGCTCAGGTTCGGACCTCTGACTGTCCAGCGCCTTGGGACTTCCTCCTGACGTGAAAGGCACTTACACATGTAATTTGTTGTTGCTATTGTTGTTGGATAGCGGGTAGCAGGAACTCCTTGCAATTTGCATGATTAGCAGCTGAACCAAGCATCGAGTGCATGAGAGCAATGCCACTATCTTCCTGCATGGACACACACCACTACCCACTGAGCAGTGGTTCCACCGATTTGAGATGTGGAGCCACGCAGATGCTTACTTGTCTCCAGACCAGTCAAGATCAGCACCAGACTCTGCATATAGCAGTGTGTGTTCAGAAATCCCAACTCCAGTTTATGCCTTACAGCAGTTGTCATCCCTTGTTTCAAGAGTGTCCTCATCAATTATTTGATGGACACCCGCCTCACACATAGGGGAGCGAAATGCAGGCTCACAGAGCAGCTCACTGCAGTCCTGCTGGTCTCGACCTATTTCTCTTATTGGTTCTTTTTTAGGAAATGCAAATAGTTATACCACAGTTACTCTCCAGGGTCCATGTTAGAGAACAGGCTGCTGCTAGTTATTCGACTCTTGCAACCCTCTCTATCGTTTTGCTCCCTCCCTCTCGCACTTTCCCCCGACTCGGTGTGAACACTTTTGCAAGATATGGATTGGGTCTAATAAATAACTTGCATCAACCTGTCCTCTCACAGGGACCATGAAAGATAACTATGGTATAACTAGTTGTGTTTAAAACAACCTTATCTATAGGTTGCTGTTCAAAGCTTCTTACCTTTTCAATGGATATCATGCTCTTCCTCCTTGTTGCATTCTTCATGTTGCTGTAATCCGGAGGCACTGTTAGCTGTGCGTGATCAGTAGGGAACAGTCCAGACCGGCCACCAATCGACCCAAACTGCCAGCCTACAACAGAAAGACTCTGCGTTAGAGACTCTGGGGTGACAATCAGCTCTTCTGCAAGCTCGCTCTGGAAAGGCCTCTTTCTATCCAGTCAGAATCAGTTGTTGGGATTTCCTGATAAACACCCACGTTGCTGTTCTGTTCTTTCTGTTGTGACGTCTCGAGAGTTGATAATAATACTAATAATAATCCTTGCATTTGATATAATGCTTTTCACATCTTTCACAGAATAGACTGTAAAGTGAATTGACTGTATATTTGTGGGTGAAACGATATAGTGTTAATGGGAAAACTGCCCTCTGGGACTCGACACTTTGCAAATACATATTTACTGGCATGCAAACAGGGCACAGGTTAAACTTAATTAGAGAGTTTTCAATAGGTCATCTTATTTCAAAGACAGAAATAGATAGGGACTTCAGTGTTAATATAATTTTGCTTCAGTTTGCTCAAATACTCAGTTTACTCAAATGTTAGTTTGCCTGTGACAATAATCTCTGTCAATGGATAGAGAAAATTGGTGTAAATCCATTGAATTGCCTGGCGGGGTTGAACATGCTGTTTACTGGTCCTATTGCTTTTACATGTGCCGCCTATCCACTACGATGGATTACTTGTTGTCTTGTCAGCACCTGACCTCCTGTCTTTGATCTGCAAATTGCTGACTGACCTGGTTCCAGACTGTCCATGTGTAGCAGTTTGATAACATCGCCCTTCCGAAAATTTAACAAGCTCTTCTCATCGGTGATGTAGCTCTTCACAGCCCTGACATAGTTGGAGTCCTGTGACATAGACACAGTGTCAGTGTAACCAACACATTACAGCAGACCAAAGATACAGAATGTCGGTGTACCCCTATATCTTGCAGCACACCAGAGATGCACAGTGCACCTCCATACGTCACGTCAGGTGAGTCACTCAGACAGAAAGCAAACATAAGAATTCGGAAATATTGCCGAATATTTGACATCAGAAGCTGCACCACACAACTGCCCTACAGATCAGAAGTGGCGAGGAACACTCAGCAGGTATGGAGATTTCCAGATTTCCAGCATCTGCAGTATTTTGCCTTTTGTTCCAGTAAGGAACAGCTTGGTACCTAACGCACTGATCAGTCCCAGTGTAAGACATGCCACCACTGCTCCACGTACAAGAGCTCATTCCGTACCTTCCGCAGTTCAACCAGGAAGAAGTTGACGAGCGCCTGCACCTGGGAAGCCTTCTCAGTAAACAGAATCAGTGATTCGTTCTTCACCATAAACTCTAGTGTGGACTCGTCCACGATCTTCACACTCAGCACATCCACATAGCTGCCAGGAACACAGACAGTTGTTACAGTAAATACCGGTTAATCTAATATCTATAGTGCTAGGGAAAACTGGGAAGGTACAGGCTAGGATACTAGATTCCTTGAAGAAACAGTTTAATGCTGTAATGGAAGATTGTAGGGGCAGCATTCTGGAACCTATAGAGATCTTGATATGGGATGCTATGCATGCTAATCTACAGAGCATTAAAAGGGAATTGGATAACAACAACAACAAATTACATTTGTATTGCACCTTTCGCATGAGGAGGACATCCCAAGGCGCTGGACAGTCAGGGATTTGGAGGGCAGGGAGGATAGAGGTAGGTGGGTGACTGAATAATAACAACTTGCATTTATATAGTGCCCTTCACGCGGGGCGCTATATAAAGCAAGTTGTGTAAGCTGTGGTGATAATAAAAATAAAGAATTTACATAGTGCCCTATCATGCAAAATAAATGCTCTGAAAATATGTATTTTATAAAATATAATTGATTAGAAATGAAATGAAGGTTGCTCGTTAAGAAATGACTCACCCAGACACATACTCAATCATACAGAAGAAATATCAGTCATACACGGATAGGCCCTCATCAGTCTCTCACCTGTAGCTCTGCAGCACCTTGTAATGTTCTGGGCTCATCCCTGTTGCTTTTGTGGTCTTTAGCAGTTTGATGTCTCGATGGGAGATGCTGAGAACCTCCACTTTGTTGTCAATCTCCCCCTAAAACATACACACAGAGGAGCGGCTACATTTAGCACATTTTAGTCTGACACAGCGACTGCATCACAATTATCCTGTTGACTCCCTCTATCCCTCCCTCTGCCTCACCCCTTCCTTCCCCATCTTCAGGTTGCATCTGAAGACCTTCCTCTTCTACGGTCACCTCCCCATTCTTTAGCATAGTGCTGGGTTTCCACATGTGTCAGGTACCCAGATAACCAGAGGAAAAAAAATTATATATTATACTACTGTATGCTGTGTGTATTATGTATAAAGTACATATTACCATGCTCCTGCCTAAGTATGTGCTTCTGATGGAGACCCTCTCATACTTACACAAACAGGGAAGAGTCGTGAGAAGTACATGACCCAGTTGTCACGTGCAGCCACCACAATCCTCCTTTTCAAACCATCGTCCTGCACTGACCTGATGTTCGTCCCAACCTTCAGTTCAGCTGTTGAGAAGAAAATAAAGGTTATCCAGACTCCACTGTAAGCTGCACGTGTGTCTGTGGTTGTGTCTGTGTCACAGATCTGTGCTGCTTTGTAATGGTTCTATCACTTTGTCCGTATAATACAACAGCAGTAAGTCTGTGCAACTCACTCTATGTAGAATCTATACTGTACCACTGTCCATCCATCATGTAAGCACAGTGCAGATTGCTGAATTGAATACTGCTGAATAAATGCCCCATCTCTTAATTTATGCAGTAAACATAATAATAGTAATAATCCTTACATTTGATATAGCGCCTTATCACGTCTTGTAGACGTCTCAAAGCGCTTCACAGAATATACTGAAAAGTGAATTGACTGTATATTTTGGGCGAAACGCGGCAGCCAATTGTGCACAGCAGCGTCCCACAAACAGTCGCGGATTGAAAATGACCAGTTTATCATTGTTTTGTTTTGGAGGGATTATTATTAGGTGTGTGGAGTAAGGAAACTTGCCCAACATTTTGCCACTGCCTGGAATTGAACCCAGGTGTCTCGCTTGAAAGGCGAGTGCTCTAACCACTGAGCTACACACTACTTGTGGAACGTTCCAAAATTGTCATACATTGCTTACAGAACACAAACCAAAGCCATTTCATATATTCAGTAAGCCCTTCCACCAAAGTCCTGGGGCAGAGATTTCTACCAGATCTTGTTCAGTTGATGTATTTACCCATTGGGAGATCGCCCCTGTCCCCTGTCTCTACAGACAATAAGCTTGTAAACAGAGCCAAGACAACTCCGCAACCCCACCGGCCTCATCCACCCATCAGTTACAAACATTACTCTTGTCCAGGAGACAGGAGCCCATCACAAGACAGCCCATCACATTGTAGATGGTGTCACTGAAGTGCACCCACTCCCTTGCTCAATGGCATTTAACATGTGTAGGGATCCCTCTCATCTGATAGACACGCATGCATTATACGGGAATGTGGAGTCTCCCTACACACTTACTGAGCAGATCACGCATCTTCCGCCGCTCATCCTTTGAGATACGCGCACAGCTATTGGAATAAGTGTCCCGCACGATCTGAGAAGAAGATAGTTTGTTAGTCACAAGCACACAGCAGCTTGGAGTGATACAATACAAAATGACACTACAACATTACATTTGTATAGCGCCCTTCATGTCGGAAGAATGTGCCAAGGTGATGAGTGATGGCCAGATTGCAAGGGCTTTCTCCAAAGGCCGAGCACTCTGGGACTTTACATTGTGTGTGGGACGCTATATAAATGCAAGTTGTTGTTGTTATTTCAGCAAAAAAAGGTTCAGGGCATTTTAAATCATTTAAAGGAACAGCTCGCTGGTGTGAAGGGAAAATGGGATTCCTGAAGGATGAGATCAAAGGTCTGAAGGGCTTTCTTATCCGACCTTTCTTGTGATCTGTCAACCAGGCCAGACAAACACCAAGCCCTCAGTACAGATGTGTGTACGTAGTCTTGTTACACAGACATTTGGACTCTCAAGGAATCTATGAGGAGGATTGAAGGCCAGCAACCAACAAGTAATTTAAAGTAGCTTCTCTGGTATCGCACTGTCCTTTCACGACTGTATCGGAGCTGATAGGAACGCAAGTCTACTCTATCTGCTGCCTGAAAGGGACTAATTGGAAATCATCCAACCCAGCTTCCAGGTGGCACAAGCCCACAACACAAACCCATTCAGACAGCTGGCCGGATCATCCGCCAGTATCCCCCCCTTCATTGGATCCTGCTCCTTTGCCAGACTGTGTACAATGAGAGTCTAATGTTCGATCGTTCTTACCTGTTCACATATCAGATTCAGAATGTAGGGATCATTAAACTTCTCTCGTGGGTAAAACAGCTGCAGGGAACAAGCTTGGAGTTAGACAAACCAACATAGGAATTGCTAGATGAAAAAACACCAAAATCCATCCAGTTCACCTTCCATCATGCTACAATAATGGAGATGCTGATAGCAATCAATTCTGTGTGGATTAATCTATGACAGAGTGGAAAGATTTGGGAACCTTAGATCCTGTACTGGTACTTCCAATCATAGTGCACTAACTTATATGTCATCTCCGAAATTACTCATATATTGTAAAATATTATTTTCTGAAATAAATTCTGCAGACATTTAATAGACCCTGCAATCACTCGATTATTTCATGAATGTAACAGAAACCTTTTGGAAGTTGGAAGTAAATGAAAACTGCTGCTCAGGAGTGCAGAGCAGCTAAATAATAATATATAATAATAAATAAATAATAATAATAAAGATGAGCAGATTCACCACCCTGCCTAACCTCAGCACCATTCACTGCATCTTCACTGTCTCAAGGTAATTATTGCTGGTTTGGTGACAATTAACACCAACTACAGCTAGGCAAGGCTAACTCGTATCAGGTAACATTAAATCTAAGCATTTAACAATAAGCATGAATGTAATTAAAGAATTACAAACAGATAACATGAACTGCGATGAGCAAAATGACTTTTCATGTGTCAATGGTAATAATAATAATAATCCTTGCATTTAATATAGCGCTTTTCACGTCGGGAGGACGTCCCAAAGCACTTCACAGAACACACTGTAAAGTGAATTGACTGTATATTTGTGGGCGAATGCGGCAGCCAATTGCGCACAGCAATGTCCCACAAACAGTCGTAGATTGAAAATGACCCATTTATTATTGGTTTTGGAAGGATTATTATTAGGCTCTGTGTGGAGTAAGGAAACTTGCCCAATGTTTCGCCCTCTGCCTGGAATTGAACTCAGGTCACTCGCTTGCAAAGCGAGTGCTCAACCACTGAGCTACAGGACTCCACTATAATGTATCTTAAGTGTACTGCACTATGGGGGGGAATGGGATTGATTTGGATAGCTTTTTTCAAAGAGCTGGCACAGACTCGATGGGCCAAATGGCCTCCTTCTGTGCTGTATAATTCTATGATTCTATTCGAAATTTTACTCAGATCCGGTGTGCACTGTACCTCTATAGAGGATATTGACAGTCAGTATGTGCTACACCAGTCAATGTGGATTAAAAGGGTGAGGGGGTTCTTTGTAATAACTTTGCTATTGCTCTGATGTTACAATTCCTCCTCTTAACTTGGTGTCATCTGAAAATTCCTGCTACACCAACCATAACAACCGTAGCAGTACTGTACCTCTTTGCGCAGATAGAGTTTCCAGTTGTTGTTAACGTAAGAGAAGTAAACGCTGGCTGTCCGCCTGTACAGCTGGGTTTTTATATTCTCATCATCCAGAAATACTTTTGGGTGGAAAGGAAAAACAACAAGAAAAGTTTCACTGACGGCAATCAGAATAGCCTGAGGCACAGAATGTTTACATCAACAACAACTTGTATTTATACAGCACCCTTCACGTGGGGTAGCATCCTGGAGTGCTGGATCTGATTTACAATCAGGTACAGGATTAAACCACAAGATCACAAGAAAGTATCATATAAATTTCCTAGTCACTTCCTCAAAGTGTCTGTCAATGCTTCTTGATTCTCCTCCCTTTGGCTTCTAAGAACCCCTGGTATACTGTCTTTCTACCTTTGGGGGAATTTATTGGCTTTCGGCTACCTAAACATGAACTGAAAGCTATATGAAGTTACAATTGATTTTCTTTACTGTAGACATCTTCAAGAAAAATATTCTTTTCCCTCTCTGACCTGTCTGAAATCAGCTAACATAGCACATGTCATGAATTGAACCTGCGATCTACCTGGTCTAGGTGGCTCATTTTATTTACCCGTTGAAGGGAATCTGATGTGCATTTTGACCTGAGCTTTGACCTTATCCTTACCTTGAGGTGGGGAAAAATCGTTGGACAAAACAGGTGCAGGAAGTGAGGGAGGAGGAGGAGGAGGTGGGGGAGGCGCAGGAGGAGGAGAGGCTGTCTGTGAGAGTAATAGCGTCAGTTCATTGTGAATTGTGGATGATGAGATGCGTTGTGGTTTTGGTGCAACCTTTGGACCAGAATTGGGCTTGTTATCTGTGGAAGAGTTAGAGTCATTCTGAAAGGAAGAAGAGAACATTTTCTTATCAATTCATATATATATGCTTACAGAATATACTTTAAACTGAATTGACTGTATCATTTATGGGTGAAACATGACAGCCAATTGGTCACAGCAGAGTCCCACAAAGAAGTCATGCAATAAGTATCAAATTATTATTTGTATTTATTTATTTTTGAAAGTATTATTACACCCAGAATGCAATCCGCCAATTGACTAACATCCGGGTTCCTATTTACTGCCCGGTAAACAGAGATGTGTGGTGTAAAACAACATGCCTAATGTTTCATCATGCCTGTGAATCAAACCTAGGTCCTCTCGCTTGTTCTGTCCGCCTCATTTTAGAGAGAGGTAGGCAGGCATCTCAAAGATCTCAGCCTGTCACATTTATACAGCAACATTCACATAAAATGAATGTTTTGAAGAAACTGCTCACAAGCCTCATGTCACAGGCCTCAGTCTTTCCTATGATCAGACAGGGAGAGTCATAATAATAATAATAATAATAATAATCCTTGCATTTGATATAGCGCTTTTCACGTCGGGAGGACGTCCCAAAGCGCTTCATAGAACACACTGTAAAGTGAATTGACTGTATATTTGTGGGCGAACGCGGCAGCCAATTGCGCACAGCAATGTCCCACAAACAGTCGTAGATTGAAAATGACCAATTTATTATTGTTTTTGGTTTTGGAGGATTATTATTAGGCTCTGTGTGGAGTAAGGAAACTTGCCCAAGGTTTCGCCCTCTGCCTGGAATTGAACTTAGGTCTCTCGCTTGCAAAGCGAGTGCTCTAACGACTCATGAAGCAATCATAGAAACATAGAAACAGGAGGAGGGCATTCAGCCCCTCAAGCCTGTTCTGCTTTTCTATAAGATCATGGCTGATCTGTACCTCAAGTCCAAATACCCGTGCTTGCCCCCTATCTCTTGATACCCTGACCTAACAAATATCTATCCACCTCAGTCTTGAAGGTGTGAATGGATCCAGCAGTCAGAGCCTTTTGGATCATACACATATTTGGTGTGAGACAGAGACAGAGCAATCACTGAGAACTATAAAACTCCATTAATTTAGTTTACATTTTCTGTTTCTCCCAGGTAAGTGTATTGGACCCCAGTGCAGATACCTTGTGGCCTTTCATTCCCAATAAGTTCAACGCTTCTTCCTTGGGGGTGTTTTTCTTCAGGAATGGTTTTGCTGTCCTCCTGGAAAAAATGAATGGAATATGTACGGTAATAGGTCTGGACAAGAAGCAAAGTTTACTAATGATGACAAACTGTACGGAATTCCAAATAGCAGGAATCAAGGCTGACGAAATAGTGAGGAATTTTCGGATAGATTTAAAGTGTGAGCCCGACAAGTGGGAAACATTAATTATCGTGAATCAAACTTTAGTGATGATAATGGGAAAGTAAGCATTTAAACTAAGCAAGCGTTAATCCACAGGGGACAAGCCAAGTGAGAGATTTCAAGGAATTGGGCGACAGATCGCTGGGACCATCTCTAAGTACAATGTACGACAGTAGAAAAAATAATAAAATAAGATATGGGGGTTTTACCAAAAGGGAAGTCACTTGGAGTGATATTGAATTGAGAGGATACTAGCCCATCACAGAACTCCTCCAATACTGGTGACAGTGAGGAACACCCCAAATTTGTATTGTCCCTTGCACAGGGTGTCCACAAAGTCCTCTCACCCCCTGTTACAAAACAGCGGTCTGAGACTAGGGAGGAGCTGAAACAAGCTGTCGCCTCCTCACTAATATCAATGTCACAGAAGAAGTCGCAAGGAACATGGCGACGAATCATTATCTGCCATAAAAATGATGGTGCTCACACACATACCGATCCTCTGGACGTCTAAATAAAGCTAAGCACTTCTGAATGCAATTATCATTATTTGTTGGTCAATGCACTGAAGAGAAAAAAATGGGGGTGACAGGACTTTGTGGACATTCTGTAGAATCAACAGAGAATCTTCTGTGTTTGGACAGAAAGTTCTCAGTCTGTAAATCAAACAGGTGACATCAATGCCCAAGTACTGGGGAAGTGGATTGATTGGGGTCTAACAGATGGAACAGGTAGGCCTTCCTCAAGTCGTTTGCCTGCACAGTGGATCTGAACACATGCAATTTTCACTGCTTTATTTTCAATAATATTATTGTTTCAATTATTAGTGTTTGGAACACAACTTGACCCCCTTTTTTGGGGGGTTGGGGTGTGCGGGAGGGAAAGTATTCCTACTCATTGCTCTTACCTGATCGGTTCATACTCTGTAGGTGGGGGAACCGGGCGACTCTGGTAGATTTTGATTATTTCTCGAATGTTCTGACTGGGTTCCACTCGTTTGGGAGGTGTGTACAAAGAATTAATTATCTCTTTATTCCTATTTTCGCTCTTCTTCGTTTCATCTTCTTTCTTCTCTTTATTGGCAGATTTCTCTGGCCCAGGCGGAGGGGGAGGAGGGGGAGGCGGAGGAGAAGTAGATTCTGCAGAGATTAACATTAATAAATGTCAGACTGTCAGACTGTCAGAAGCATTTGTGACTGTCAGTATTTGAGGTCAGTTTACAGCACTCATCACCTCTTGAGAGATTGTAGTCAGGAATTTGAACTCATAGCGGTGACCAGGGTGGCATTTGTCAGGATTAACCATCATATTTAAAACAGGTAAGAATACAAATGAACCGAGGCCGGGAGTTTGGTCCGACTTAACCAGCGTCCGAGATTTACCTACATCCGGCTTAAGCGGCTTCCACTGTACCTTTCGGTTTCTCTGGTTGAGTCTCTGGCATCTCAGTCTTCTCCTCGCTTTTTGGGCGGTCAGGTTTTGGAAGCCGAATCTTGGATGGCACCCTCACAGGTGCCTCTTCCTTCCCTGTGAGGAGCCGGGGAGTGGGAGCAGCAGAATGAGAAGATCAGAGAAGAAAATCACACACATCCAGCCCAGCCATGGATTAACAACTATTTTCCCCAAGTCAATGAGGGTTGGAAGAATTTGGTGACAAAACATCCAAGGATTTTTTTTAGCTCTTTTCATATTTATACTCTGCTCCACCACTGTCAAGCGCTCTGGGATGCTACTCTGAGGGGTACTATATAAATACAAGTTGTTGTTATTCTGCTGTGCGTAATTGGCTGCCGCGTTTCGCCACAAAATATACGGTCGGTTCACTTCACAGGATATTCTGTGAAGCACTTTGAGACATCTCAAAGATATGATAAGGCACTGTAACAAATGCAAGGATTATTATTACTGTTAAAGCAGCTGATGCTTCATCACCGTGATCCAACAGCCTCCTTGCAAACACTGTGACTAAAACATAACTCAGAGATAAGCAACAACAACTTGCATTTTTACAGCACCCCTTATGAAGGGTAGAGTCTCAGAGTGTTTAATGTTAGTGATCACTATTGATAATTCAAATAACAAAACATTCACTGAGGAATCAATTAAGCTTTAACATCCAGAATACTGCCAATATATCCCACAAGTAGTTCATCCCATAAATGCCTCAATATGTTAGTGCCATGAATCCCAGTAGCAGGACCATATTTATGCCGGTCTATCTAGTTTTCTCTCCAATTTCTTAGTGATTTACTGTTTTATACTGCAAAGATATTTAATTTTAAAAATAAATAAATATTTCATGAAAACAATCACCCAGGAACCATACTTGTCAGGAAATAATGGCATTATAGGCCCTTGGACTCAGAACCCCACTAACAAGGAGACAGACTGATATGGAACCACACTAACATGGAGCCAGATTAACATGACACCACATTAACATGCAACAATGTTGAATCCTTTCAATACCTTTGATGTTACAGTTGTAGCATTCAACAGTGCAATGAAAGAAGATAGAGACACCCACACTCACCTCTCGTCTGGAAATATTGTCGTTTTTCCTGGAAAGATTGTTTTTGTTCTAACAAAGTCTCATCGTCACTGTTATCAACATTCTCAGGCACAGAAACCTACAGACAAAAACATGGCTTCAGAGAGGATACAGGTTGCCTGATTGCCCTCAAAACCTTTTTGAAGAGTTGACATTCCAAGTTGATTAAGGGAGTTTATATGGTATTGGTCTGTGTTAAAAGACCATTATTTTGTGAAGAGCATAAATAGTTACAAAAACTAACACAAAACAAAAAGGCGGGATTTGGGAGAGAGTTACAGAGTGCAAAGTGCCTCAAAGCTTATCCACTGATAATGGGGTAGGAGAAATGGGTGACATGAAGCAGGAGGGGAAAGAATGTGGGAGAAGGACCACAGGTTAGTAAAGCCAGAGAGAGGCTCAGGGGAGAAATAGAATCATCTATCCTACAACAAAAAAGTCAAAGAAGAAAATCAGACCCAACCCGGGCTTTCTCTTCTGAGCAAAAGGAAGCACGCACAACTGACACTGGCTCTCCTGCACTCTGAACAGACCAGAGAGCTGATGTGACCCCGAGGGTTAGACAGGAAGCACGCTGGGGTCAGAGGATAATAAACACATACCTTCTCTTTGGGTGGCTTATTCAGATCTATAATAGGTATTTTGATGACTTCAGGCTCCCTGTTCACACTGGGTGTTTTTGGCTGAATGGGCGGAGTAGAGATGACGGGTTGTACTGGAGGTTTAGGGGTGTGTTTTATGAATTTCTTTGTCCTGGAATTCACTGGGGCTGCCTCCTCTTCCTCATGTGGCTTCTGCCACTGGTGTTGCTGCTGCTGTTGTTGTTGCTGGGTCATTGACATGGCCTGAATGGTCATCTGCTGGGCCTGAAACAATACATCACATTGTGCAATAGGATTAGAGTTTTCAGAATTAAGTGCACTTAATCGTATAGTGATACATATCTGATTCATCCCACCATTTTCTTTATTAAGAGAAAAAGACAAGAAATTCCTAATGACAGGAAAGCAAAGGACACAAGTTCAGTGTTCTAGACGTTGGATTTTTACACATTTTACACATTTCTTATTGAGGAATCTGTTAAGAAATCAAGCAAATCAAACCCCAGTGTCTTAGCTGGAATGTTTCTGCTGCTTCTGAGCAATATTTTTCCAGAATTTCGTTAATTTATGTTGCGATTAATTTATGAGTTGCTTTAGGTCAGGTAATTCTGCATACAGTTGTATAACCCAATTATAAGACAATTGTATTTTGTATGATTTCTAATTATCTGAACTGTTTGCTTAACACCACCCCTCTCGTATCCAATCCCCAGATCCTGTGTAAACCGTCCAGTGCCTTGGGACGTCTTTCCGACTTGAAAGGCACCATGTAAGTCCAATTTGTGGTTGTTGTTAATTACAACAGCTCTGGTTCTAATTATTACAAAGGACCAACTCTTTACTATAAACACTGATCTGCCACTGACTGATGCACTCACCAGTAGAAGTGCCTGCTGGTTGATGAATTCCTGCTGCTGTTTTGCTGTCTGTTCCTGTTGTGAAAAGTGAGATCTTGAGTAACGACTTGGCTGGTGCATAGGCAGCATCTCAGGCATGCTGGAGGCTTGTGGCATCATCATCGCTGCAGAGAAAGTCCTTACAGTCAGAGGCTTATAATTCAATCCATTGCAAACTATTGCACAGTGAGGCTAACATGTGGGTCACTGTTACTCTGCAACTTGACTTGACTACAACTTGAATGTTGTAGTAATAATAATCCCTGCATTTGATTTAGCGCCTTATCATGTTGAAATGTCTCAAAATGCCTCAAAGATTTTCTGTAACAAACAGTGATTGCATATTCACACAGCAATGTCCCACAAAAGCAAAACTTTTTTTTAATATAATGGTGGGTGGGGGAAGGCTGTTGCCAGACAATCAGAAGAAAATCGCTTCCCTTTTCAAAGTGCCATTGGATCTTTAATGTCTATCTGAACAGGCAAGCAAGGTCTGGGTTTAACATTTCATTCAAAGCACTGCACCTCTGATATTGTAGCAAAGTAATTGAACTCCCAATTTTCTGACTCAGATATCAGAATGTTATCGACTGAGACAGCCTAACACCTGAAAACTTTTGATTCACAGACATCCTGGAAAGGGCCTAAGGGTATGCTAACGCTCACGCTTACCTGGCATAGATGGGTGCATCATAGGCATGGTTGGCATAGTTTGCATTGGCTGCATTGTTGGCATTTGTTGCATTGGCTGCATCACTGGCATGGCTGCAGGAACACCTGCCCCCATGTAAGGCATTTGTTGGTAATTTGGTGCAACAGACATCTGGGGCATTTGGGGCATCCCTGGAACATGCAAGCAAGAGAGAAGGTGACGAAAAGTTTAAAGACTGAAAGTGATTTGCACAAAGTGAGGAATCTAAACTTGATCTTAGACGCTATACATACCCATAGGGTAGCTGGGAATCAGCGGCATACCTGCAGATAAAGAAAATGCAATGAGCAGCTGCCACGTCACAAAGTGTCTATCAACACCTGCCCCAAATTCCCACCATTACACTTCATTCATTGTCTATCAACTGTGCTTTGTTCCGAGTGCTTCCAGAAAGTTTAAACAGAAACTGCAAATGTGACAATTCAACTTACATTCAGTTATGCTTCACACCAGAGATCACACTCAGCCCACGCTGTACACCACAGCTCACACTAAACACACCCTGCACACCACACCTCACACTCAACAACAACAAATTAGATCTGTATAGCGCCTTTCACGTCAGGATGACGTTCTACTCAGTCAGCACATAGCACACTCAGCCCAAGCTGTGTATACACTCCAGCATACACTCAGCTCACCCTGCACACTACAGCTCACACTTAACAGATCATTGACCTGGACTCATGTAGACTCCTGTCTGTGTTGGGCCTATTCCTCCACCTCCTTTCATCCGTCGATTTAGATCTGCTGATCGCTCCATTTCCTACAAGGACCATTGGAAAAATTACATCAAGACTGAACAGTTTGAAGAATAACTGATGCAATAACTCCGTACTACAACCAATGAAACATTTACAGATTACTGGTCAGTAACAAACAGCACAATTAACACACACACTCACCCCTCCTCCAAAGGTAAACACTGGATTGAACAGATTGTCCACATAGTTTTCTAAGCCTGGTGTTGGTCTTTCGCTATAATCAGGAGCTGTGGAGAAAAGCCAGAAGATGAAAACTAACAGTTCAGCAAGTTTCCCCATAAAGGTGTTACGTAAACATTGATATCTCTAACCAATTTGAGTTGTTCTTATTGTTCTTTTTAAGTTCCATAAAACATTGCTGGAAGAGNAAAAAAGCCTTCTCCTTCCACAAACTCAATTATAAACTCCAACTTCCAACAGTATCAATACATCTCCATAAAACTGCCTGATACCAAAGGCAATTCTCCTGAGAATTCATCCATTCCTGTGATAAAACCAGTTCCATTGAAATTGTATTTCCTTCTTTCCTTTCTTCCTTCCTTCCTTTCTCTTACTTTCTGTAGACATGTGCACTGAGTCACTTACCCCCAAACTGGGACTGATAATAACCAGCAGAAGCATTTTCCTGGGGTATCAATGGCGGAGGTAGAGGAGGTGCCTGGATGTTGGGTGCTGGAGGAATTATTGTCTCAGAATCCTCAGATGTTGCCCTGGATGAAATACGAAGAGAAATTGAGTTGTTGAAATCTCTCAGCAATTCAAATGTGACAAAGGTTCCATTAAGCTCAAAACCTGTGTGGGAACTGGGTTCCCTCTCCTGGATTTACTGCACCAAGTTGGTCAAACACTTAGTACTGACTAGAAGTTCATCCAACTGGATAAACCCAGGTATCAAATCCTGATCTCAAATGGCTCAATCACACTCTGTGCATTGATGTTACTATGCAGGAGCTCAGGTTCCACACTGAGTATTGAGCCATGAGTACTTTGCATTGTATAACGTAGATAAGGATAGCAGATGGTAAGAGGCTGTATATATTCTTTATATTTGCCAATTTTTTCGACCTCGATCATTTTCCCTCCAATCCTCCCTTAAAGAGACTCAGAGACTATTCTAGAGTTTTCCTTTAAGCACCTCATGTCCTCACAATGTGAACTGAGAAACATGTATATGTTGCACCAACCCATAAGACCTTGTCTCTGAACTAAGGTCATCTTGGAGGAGCCAGTAACACAGCAATTTTGACTGTCAAAGTGCTTCTTCTACTGCTAAGTGACTGACCCTATTTGACAGCCTTTAAATAATGTGATGATTCGCAGACTGCATCGAGTTACTCACGAGTAGATGTTTTCAGAGCTGTACGTAGATCCGTAAATATTCCCACTCATCCCTGTGTTGAATGGGGAGCTGGAGTTCTGGGCTGAGAATACGCCAAGCATTTCAGTCTCAGCAATAAGATCCATTATGAAGTCAGAGCCGGGAACATCTCGCCATTGCTCACCAGTGTGCAGGGACATTGACCAGCCTTTCTGTTCAGTCTCCTGGCCCCTGTGGTAATCAGTGAGAGGTTGACCACTCAGGTACATGCAAAGCAACTTATATTATTTTATGAAAGACATTTGTTTCACAAGTGTATCTGTTACATACCAGAACTTGAAGATCCAGCTGGCCAGCTCTTCAGCAGTTGTCCATGACTCCACCTCCGTGACCACAGCTTCATCTGGAAAAGTAGATTTAAGATGTTATTTGAAATGTTGAGTCAGAGGGAAATCACCACGAGGATTGGAGGCTCGGGTATCCTGTATAAAAGGTGAGGGTACCATGGGACAAGATGGGGCTTCTCTGTGTGAGGGGTTACATTTTAATCTCACTGTGAAATCTCCTGTGCGCAATTGGCTCCCGCGTTTCGTCCACAATATACACAGTCAATCCTCTTTATGATATATTCTGTGAAGTGCTTTGAAACGTCTCAATGAAGTGATACGGCTCTATATCAAATGCAATGGTGATTATTATTACTATTATTCACACAGGACTGCCAGAAGAAAATCTGGGAATACTCCAAGTTATGCTACAAAATAGCCACACATCCTTTTCAGAATATCTTATCATTATTAAATATTGTGCTTGTAAAAGCAAACGTAAGATGCGTTTTCAGAAATAAATCATTGGACATTGCAACAAGCTCCACTACATGCTTGCTAAGAACCCTAGAAAAGAATCCTTTCCTGAGCATAATGATTCAAATTTATAGTTTACCGTGTCTGCTGTTATTTTTTAAAGTCAACAATCGCAAATACAATGCAAAGTACTCATCAATAATTACAGTACTTTTCTTTGGAAACAGATTGTTGCCTACATAGAATATTACAGCACAGAAGGAGACCATTCGGCCCATTGTGCCCGTGCCGGCTCTTTGGAAGAGCTACCCAATCAGACCCACTCCCCCGTTCTCTCCCTGTAGCATTGCAATTTTTTCCTTTTCAATTACCTATCTAATACCCTTTTGATAGTTGTTACTGAATCTGTTTCTACCAGCCTTGAAGGGCAGTGCATGCAGACTAACACTATAAAGTGAATTGTAAAACAAGTGAATAAAAGTCGAGGCAATGATAAGAGATGGGGAAATACCATTAAACAAGTGCACATCCAGCACCATCTGTCCTCGCCTCTGGTTTGCTGTCCACTCCAGCTGGGAAGGTGGAAAGGATCTCTTCTGGCTGTGCTGCAGGGCCGCAAGGGCTTTGTGCTGGCACAAAGGCCTATAGCCTTCCACGCCATGATCCGACACATATCTGCGGGCAGGAAGGAACATGGCACAAATGGCACAAACATCAGCGCAAACGTCTCTTTCGAAGTTGGAGAAGAGAGAGTAAGAGGCAAATTGGGATGTCACAAAAAGAGATGAAATGGCAGTTTCAAGTGAGGAACAGCGGCAAATTGACTGAAACTGGTAAAGTGCCGATTTGAGATTGACAATTGGAGAAGATGTTGCGAATGTCCCATGGGGAGAGTTGCTTACTTGAGCAGAGGCTTTTCGAGCTCAGGGAAGGGCTGGAAACTGTTCAGGCAGGTGGCCATCAGCAGGCAAGCTCGCTGCCACTCCTGCATGTCAGGGTTCTTCCACATCTGATTGGCCAGCTGGCAGAAGATCTCATTGCGCAGCTTGGGGTATGATATGCCCTTCTGCGCAATAAAGTTCCCAAGGAATATTTCTTCCTTCCTTCCTTGAAGCCATTCGTCTCCCTGAAAACGAAGAATCTGTCAAACAGAAAGGTTAAAAAGATGTTAAAATGAGTACAGATATGTACAACAAGGGCCAACATGACCGACACACATATAATAATAATCCTAATAATAATCCTTGCATTTGATATAGTGCTTTTCACATCTTCTAGACGTCCCAAAGCACTTCACAGAATATACTGTAAAGTGAATTGACTGTATATTAGTGGGCGAAACTTATAAAGGGATATAAAGGGGTCACACGCTTGTGTAAGTGATATTGAAAGAGCATAGATTGATTATTATGGGCATTGGTTAAGAGGGAATGTAGAGCAATTTGCAGGGAATCTTCAGTACAATACCCTCCAGTATGGCGCAGCCTTGCTTATAGCGTGGGTCTACTGTGCACTATTGTACCTGCACTATCTGAAAACATGGTGTGCCCAGCTTCCAATGCAGATACAATGCAATACAAATGCCAGCATCCAGGTCATCATTTCCTATGTGCGATGGAGGCCACAGAATCAGTACTGACCAGTTTGAAGATGTCTAAGGCCAGTTGTCTCTCTTCTCCCTCCAGTTGTGTGAAGGGCTGTTGTATCGGTTGTTTTTGTACCTCAAACTGAGGGACCTAGAGAAAGGAAGAAGTGAGAAGTTTAGTTGCCTGGGAACACCTTTAATGAATCAATGGAAGTATAGCAGCTGAGACCAGCAAGTTCCATTACAGTCTTCAATGTGTAACTCTCTCCCCTGCCTTTCATGGCCAGTTGCAAATCACTCTGGTGATGTTGACTTTACATTAATCTGCAACAAAACAAGTTATGCCCTTCATATTTTGCATTTAGATTCAGGAAAAAATAACTATTCCTTCACACTTCATTCATTTAGTCAACTTTCAAACAGGAATTAGATAGATACTTGAAAGGGAAAAATTTGCAAGAATATGGGGAAAGAGCGGGGAAGTTCAACTGATTGGGTAATTCTTCCAAAGAGCCAGCACAGGCACGATGGGCCGAATGCCCTCCTTCTGTGTTTCAATATTTATGATTCTATGAAGAGGTGGTTGAGAGGGTTCCTGATTTCCTTTGGAAATCTGAAAGTATCTTCAAGGAACTTTTCCCCAGGAATTGAATGGGTGGATGGAGTCCATGGTGGGGAAGGTCACGTATGTTTGTTGGAAGGAGTTCTAAAGTGCTTCCCTTTGCCCATTTCCAGAGTTTATTTGGAGATTGCCATTTATTAAGAATAATCTTTGATGATTTTGTACTGTGGTCATTTCGAACTTCCAACTCCACTTATTGTTATCAATTTAAGATTGGCTTATTACATCTATTCACTCGCAGGGGTGTTGTTTAGTTTTTGATAGGAGAATGTATGAAACATTTATAATACATTCCACAGACCTCAATCCTAGAATAGACATTTACAGTTGTTCATGGATCAGTAATCTACAGGAATATTTATATGATAGTTGTAAAAATCTCAAGGACTTTAACATTTTTAAAGTGTAGATAATGCAATCATGAGGTCACATATCGTAAAGGTGAGCCTTGCAGTTTCAAGTCAATCTCCATATGGAGTCCTGAATATAGTTCTGGTCACTACACCCTGAGGTTCTATGGTCAGTGCGAAAGAAGACAATGTTAGAGTGAATGATATCAGGAGTAATTAAATAATATAATGCTATTCAGCTTTCAAATGTTCAGAGGGAAATTTATATAGAGGCATATAAATTGCTAAACGAGAAAAAGAAAGTAAACTCAAATCAATACTCGCTGACACAACAAAGAAGCAATACAAGAGATCATGGTTTTATGGTCATCAAGGGCAAGGGTTTGGAAACATGAGATTAAATGGCTAAAGAGGCTTCCTCATTTGAATTTCTCTTGTGATATGTTTCTCATCAGCCAGATTTCTCCTACATTAGAAACCAATCATCATTCTTAAGACAGAGTTTCACATATACATGGAAATTTTGGTTTTTTTGACTGTTAATCTCTCCCCAGATGTGATTTTTTTGGGAGTAAAAATGTCACAGCACCTTTGGCACTGTGTAATTATAATAGGAGATACCATTACTGGTGATAAACAACCGGACAGCTTCTCAGAGCACTTACATTGCCAAAGGTAATTCCTGTAACACTTTATGACATTTGTACCTCATGCTTTTAGTTTTGGTCACCATGTTCATCCGGAAAACAAACAGTCACTACACTTTCCAGCATATCCTGTGAAGCGCTTTGTTACATCCACCTGAAGTGAAAGGCCCTATACAAGTCACTGACTACAATGCCACCTGTACTTGTGCTGACCACCTCTTACTGACAGGGACCCTTTTCAGGACCAGTCAATGCTAATGGGGCCCAAACGTGATGATTATTATTATTATTAGCATGTTAGTACACCAATAGCACAGTCGGTTTACACAATTTCTGTGTCAGAGTTAATGCTGCCGGCACCGTGCTCGGACATTTTGGAACTAGGTTCAGCGCTCGATTCTCTCTTCCCCCTCCCCCCATGCTATGAGTGTGTATCACTGACCTGAAAGTGTTCATTGATGAACTTGCTGAAAGGATGTCTGTCGATATCCGGAGGAAGCGAGTAATTGATGCATGCCTTGATTTGAGGTGGGCTTACTTCTGAAACCTGGTTTTCAGAGGCATGACCTGGAAAAGGATAAGAGAAATTCTGATAAGGATTTGATCAAGTGCTTACTGGTATTTCGCAGCTGAAAACAGTGGCATTGGAAATCTGCAAGTTTCAAACTATACAAGTAGGGCAACTATCAGGTTGACAATGTGACATTCTGACATTTCTCCTTCCATTGTATGAATAACTGAATAGCTGATGGTTATGACTGCTAATATAACTGGTATGATTGCTAATATTTCTGACCCATTATAAGTAGAACACACATCAACCGCCAACCAAATATATGAATATTCTATGAACAATCCTCTAAGTGCTGATACAACAACAACTTGCATTTATATTGCACCATTCTGGTAGGATAGCATCTGGGAGTGCTTTACGGTGATGGGGTAGGGTAGCCGGAGGAGCAGTAACCACCAATATATATATACCCATTTCCCTCCGTTCCGGAAATACAGACTTCCATTAACACATTAACACATTACAGTCATTTTGGCAATTCTCCTCTCCCTCATACATACATTTTCCAACAACCTTCTTGAAACAATGAAATATTCCATGAACCCACCCACAAATGGACATTCCATCAATTTGAGATGAGATCAATTTGTCCTTTTTCATTTCTTATGATCGTATCTCAGTGCTATGAGACACTGCCTCACGTGAATAAATGCAAGTTGTTGTTTTTCTGTTATTCCAAACATTTTCCAAGCATGATAACCACAACTGGATATAGTGATCTCATTGGTGCTAGTGTGAACTTAGTACGATATTATTGTCTGATCAATTTAGATAAAAGTCTTAATTGTGATTACATTTCTGCAAGGTCTCATAAACGTTTACCTCATTCCAGGCTGGGTGTGGCATATTTCTAAAACTATTGCAACATGAAAAACAGAACGTTGAACAAACAGTTTTCAGTAACTTTTAGAATTCTAGGAACTTTCAGGAAGTGTTCATCTCTTCGTATTCCACTTCCTCTGGTGCTAACACAACTGGAGACTTAGAGTGAAAACAAACCACCTAAACAACATAAATTACCACAACAATTATCGAGCCATTGGGGCTTGATAATTAGAATCATTCAGAAGGGAACTGGATTGACACCCAGGCAATAAAAACCTAAAAAAAATTGTATGAGAGTTTGAAAGTAGAATTAATTTTAAAAAAGGACGATTTAGAAAACAGGTTGCAGTGGCACAGACAGGATGGGCCAAATGCCCCCTTCAGCGCAGAATGGTTCACGTCTTATTTGATTCAGAGTAGATTTTGGAGGTGACCCTGGCTTAGTGAAGCATACTTGCTGAGAGCAAATGAATTATAAAACTGTTCAATAGCTGTATTGTGTATTTGTGTTGCAAATGCCTAATTGGGTAAGGCTATTAAATCCTGTAGAACATTTTAGCCCCTACGGAGACTGGTTTCTGTTTTGCCGCAGCTGAAAATGTTGAGTCAAAACTTGCTAAACAATTCACACCCTAGCAGGAGAGCATCCAAAGGGCAGAGTATTGATTTCTACAAGTTTCTGTGGTGTTTCCCTGATATTCTATTACTGTTCATCTAGATTCTCTAGGATTATCCATAATTTTATGGCATTTATCTGGGGAACCTGAAACTCATAATGTTTCAATTACAATCTGGGATTCATTCACTGTCGGAATGTGTTCTCTAAATCAGTAATGACCTTTTAAGAAGGTATATACTATAAGGTACAAGAATTACAGTCTAATAAATATCGCTAAGTGCCACACTGAATCAGCCTTCCAGCAGAACTCCAATTAAGCAAGATATCATAGCATTGCACACAGTCATCATTCCTCTGCCTGCAATGCCACATAACAACGACAAAATTACATTTGTATGACACCTTTTATGTCAGGGGGATGTCCCAAGGCGCTGGCCAGAGTTTTGGACCCGAGCTGGGGTTCAGGGTCGGGGAGGGTGGAGGGCAGGGGCAGAAGCAGGGAGATCGAAGCACGGTCAAAGAGTAGGATCTTGAGATGGGTCTTGAAGGAGGCAAGGGAGGGGATGAGGCGGAGAGACTGTGGGACGGAGTTCCAGAGGGTGGAGCAGAGTGGCAGAAGGCCCACCCTCCAATAGTGGGGCGAGTGAGGCGGGGGACGTGAAGCAGGCTGGAGCCTGCTGAGAGGAGGGAGCGAGTAGGATGGTAGGCGGTTAGGAGGTTGCAGAGGTGGGGGGGAAGTAAGGCCATGGAGGGCTTTGAAGTTGAGGACAAGGATCTTGAACTGTATCCTCTGTATGATGGGAAGCCAGTGGAGTTGGGCAAGGATGGTGGTGATAGGGTAACGGAGCCTGGTGCGGGAGAGAACACGGGCTGCAGAGTTCTGAATGATCTGCAGCCTGTGGAGAAAGGAATTGGGGAGGCCGATAAGCAATGAGTTTGCATAGTCGAGCCTCGATGTAATGAAAGTGTGTATGAGGATTTCTGTGGCCAGTAGTGTGAGACAGTGGCGGAGCCGGGCGATGTTGCGGAGGTGGGGGAAGGCAGAGTGGGTCATGGTGCAGATGTGGGGTAGAAAGGATAGTTGAGAGTCAAACAAGACCCCAAGGTTCCAGACTGGCTTAGCAAGGTGGAGTGAGCAACCATGGATGGTGATGCTGTCAGTGCCTGAGGTGAGGAGGTGCTGATGGGAGCTAATCAGGAGAATGTCGGTCTTGTAGACATTCAACTGAAGAAAATTAGTTCTCATAACAGAAAACCGTAACTGAATACATGCGTGGCAAATGTGGAATAGCAAAGTAGATCGTCAGTATGCTTACAATGAGACACAGCCAATCTTTACCAAGCGGTAGAACATTCTGAAAATTTTGCACTGAAGTTGGAATGGAATCAGTTTCACAATTATAAACATTGGAGTCATGGGAAGTACAATGGATTAGTCTTGTCTCTGCCATAAAATTATAGAAATGACAGCGTAGGTGGAGTCCATCAAACCAAAGATGATGCTACCTCATCAGTCAATCTCCTTGAGCCTAATGATGCAGGTCTCACACCCACACCTCACTGACGACTGAGCTGTCATCGTTACATAATCTAGGGTTTAGCTGGCTGTGGTTACCTGGAATTATCAGTCACATGGCTATAAACCTGGGTAATAGTAACACGCCTGGAATACACTCAATCAAATGCCTACCATGACAACAACAACAACAAGATTACACTTGTATAGCGCCTTTCACGTTGGGAGGATATCCCAAGGTGCTGGACAGTGTACAGCATTTCAGACCTGAGCTGGGGTCAGGGGGGGAGAAGGGAGCGGAGAGAAAGGGGGTTGACTGATGGCATGGTTGAAGAGGAGGGTTTTGAGGCGGGACTTGAAGGAGGCTAAGGAGGGGGCGAGGCGGAGTGATTGGGGGCTGGAGTTCTAGAGGTTGGGGCCAGAGTGGCTGAAGGCTCTCCCGCCAATGGTGTGGCGGGTGGGTCGGAAGACGTGGAGCAGGTCGGAGCTGGCTGAGCGGAGGGAGCGGGCGGGTTGGTAGGGGGTTAGGAGGTCACAGAGGTAGGGTGGGGCGAGGCCATGAAGGGCTTTGTAGGTGAGGACCAGGATCTTGAACTCCGAACACTTAGGGCAAGGAGACCTTGGGACCTCACAATCCAGCACCCTCCAACATCCACGTACCCTGCACAACCAATCTATGGGGAGAAATTTCACCTGGAGCTGGATTTATTCTATTCATATAACATTTCAGTGTCTGGAATTTGACAAAGTGTTAAACACAACCTTAGTTTTGAAGCCAGTGTTCTGTAAGTTTCTTTTAAGAACTGCAGAAAACTGACAAAGATTGAATTCAACAGTTCTACCCCTGTATCTTTGCACACATGGCATCCGGCATACCAGAGTATGTGCAATCAAGTTTTCCTTAGTCTCTTTTTAGATTACTTACTCAAAAGAAAACAACAAAGTTGATATTATTATAGAGCAGGTTTCTAAGACCAAGGAACATGAGTTAAACTTTAGAAAGATTGGAGCAGCCTTTTTTTTGATATTGGGCTACTAAAATTGTGGACTAGGTTGTCAGGATAGACTACTGATGGGGACTATATAAATAGATTTAAGAGGCAACTTGATGTGTTTGGAAAGAGAAAGGCTTGAGAGATGAGGGAGGGAAGGAAGGGAGGGAGAAAGAAATAATATTTGTCATACTCCATTAATGCATATTAGACCTCATTACCTACTTACTGACCTACTTCACTACCAGTCACTAGTGGACTAAACTTTACCTAATCATACAGACACTGTCATTCTCTCTTTGACACACACTTACCCTCAGCAAGCCGTAAGAGTGCAGAAAGTTCAGCTGGGATCTCCAGCAAGCCAACATCCTGCAAAAGGAACAGAAAAGAAGATGAGTGAGAGTTCACCACGTGACGTGAAGCTTGTGCATTTAAAGACACGGGGTTCAAGTCCAGCAGAACGAGAACAATGGGCCCCGTTGCGATTGACTGGTCCTGAAAAGGCTGCCTGTCAGTGGGAAGTGGTCAGCACAGGTATAAGGTGGCATTGTGGTCAGTGACTTGTAATAAATTGTGGGCGACCAGTGTATAATCAGGCTTGCAGACACTAAAAACAGGGATTTGAGGGCAAATTTTTCTGACACACACTGCACTAACAACACCACCTTTGTCCAACAGGAAGTGGAACATGAGAAATATTCTGTGAGCTTCCTTCAACTGAGAAGTTTACTTCAATGATGGCATTTTCACCCTAAAATAAAGTACCCAAGGGAATAATGTGAGGTGAATAAAGCCAGCTTATTAACTGCTAACCTGACGTTGATTGGTAAAAAAAAATTACTTTTACCCCCCACTTCAATTATTCTGTATATAGAATTTTCCTATTATAAAATTGTTTTTCCAAAAACATTTCTATTTTTGGAACCAACGTTTTTGCATGTTTTGTTTAAACCAGGAAGAGGGGACAACAAACAAATAAGCGCATGTGTGTGGGAACTTGTTTAGTGAATAATCTAGATATATCAGGAGGGAGGTTACTCAGTGGATGCTTAAGTGTATGTTTACAAAGATGTGTACAAAAAGATAAGTATGAGTGAGAAGATAATAAGTGGCAATGAATTAATAAGGGTGTGCATGCATGTGCTATGTCATGATGACACTGACTGAGTAACGTAATAAACATTGGGGTGGGTGAAAGTGTTTGTTATTTTTACAGCACCCTGTTACAAATATTTCCTCTCTTCCACTTGCTGCCCAGACTCGCACCGAATCACTTGGGTAAGTTATCCAAAGAAGATCATGGTTACATTAAAGAAGTGGAGACCTTATTAAAGTTTTCCAATACCAGAGAGCTCCCGTGGGCTGGACTTCAACAATATCAAAAAGTCCATAATAAGAGGTTATGGTCTTAAGGTTAGAAGGAAAAATGTGAACAGATTTATTCAGTACTTTACTCAGAAAGTACTGAATATATCGATATTAGCCCAGGAAAGCAGTGCAGGTAAACAAAACTACCAATTTCAACAGGAAATGTGTCGTGATTAATTTTGCTGGAAGATGGAGTAACATGAGAGATAGGATTGACATTTAGAAAATGTGACTTGACAGACATTCCGTAATGATCTTTGTACGGATTTGCACATTCTGATGTCCAAAAGTCCTAAATTACATAAATTTACCTACAGTACAGAAATTGACCATTCAGCCGAACTAATCCTCTCTCCTATGAATACTCTTCTTCTCTCAGCCTCACCCCTTCCTTCCCCAGGTTGTGCCTGAAGACCTTCCTATTTGACTGGGTCTATGGTCATCTCCCCTCTCGGCGTTGTGCTCCCCCACTGTCAAGCACTCTGGGACTCTAACCCAGCATGAGGGGCGCTATATAAATGCAAGTTGTTGTTGTTGTTTATACTCCTCTATTATCTTCTTCTCATGTGTGCAGCTCGTGTACTCTCACGCACCAGGCTCCGTGACCCCATCACTCCCACCCTCGCCCAACTCCACTGACTCCCCATCCCCCAGAGGATTGAGTTCAAGTTCCTCGTCCTCACCTTTAAGGCCATCCATGGCCTTGCCCCCTCCTAACTCTCTGACCTGCTGACTCCCTACCAACCTGCTCACTCCCTCCGTTCAGCGGGCTCCGGCCTGCTCCATGTTTCCCGCCTAACCCATCGGTGGCCGGGCTTTCAGCCTCTCTGCCCCCACATTCTGGAACTCCATCCCACCATCCCTTCACCTCACTTTCTCCCTCGCCTCTTCCAAGGCCGGTCTCAAGACCCTTCTCTTCCACCCTGCTTTTGGTCTTCCTCCCACCTCTCTGCCTTCCCTCACCCCTACCCCACCCCTCCCCCATGCTCGGGCCCCAACACCTGACTGTTCAGCGCTTTGGAATGTCCTCCCGACGTGAAAGGCGCTCTATAAATGTAATTGTGTTGTTGTTATTGTTTCCTCTTAAATTAATTGATGTTTCCAATAGCTTCTGGCAGTGAGTACCGCATTCTCACAACCCTCTGCATATAAAGAAATTCCTTCTCAATTCCCTTTCAAATCTGTTATTGACTGTCTAATATTTTCAGATTTTAATTTAGTTAAGTGGAGTCAAAACATTTTATGGAACAATTTTAAAAAAAAACATAAGCAGTTGTGATATGTTAAGAATGTGAGTGAGCAGTTTAATTGCATGCAATGTAATTATAGTTGTGATAAAACCATATTTTATTGGGGAATTGGGTGAAAGGTCAAAAGAAGAGGCAGGATTATGTACATAAAAGAAAAACACAGGAGGTAAGGAATTCAACAAACATAACAAGAAGAACAACAAATTACATTTTATAGCGCCTTTCACATCGGAAACATGTTCCAAGGTGCTGGGAATTCAATTTGAGATGAGAACAAAATAAGATTGTTAACAGATGAAGAAGGGTTATGAGTAGATCAATCACAAGGAAGAGGCTAGTTGTTGGATAGACTTGCAAGAAGAACTGAAGAGTTTGAAGAATTGAAAGAGTGAACATTTTCATTAGATCATTCAAAGCATATGTAGGAGATTAAGGTTTTGAGTGGAATCATCAGGAATTGTAGATATGGTTGAAGATGACATCAGTGTGGTGATTGGAACAAAATGAGTTGGAGACAGGGAAGCAGGGGCATCAAGGCTCCTGTGGAACCCTGGTGGTAATGGAAAAAGGGTCAAAGAATGAACCATCAATGAGTCATCACTGCCTTGGTATACGAGGTGGGGTCTCAGTACACAAGGAAACCTCACAGTTACTCACCATTCCCACTGCCACTCCTTGGGACCTGGTCCGTGCTGTGCCGTTACAGACCTCGATTCTCTGCAAACACAGAAAAGTCATGAGTGTGAGATCCTTTGCCATCACTGGTTGGCCATTCCAGTCACACAGAAACCTGCCACAGGGCAGCATTTCCTACCACCTTCCTTTTTCCTCCCTTCCTTTCCTGAAGGAAGTGCCTCATTCCTCACTTCAATGCCCAAACCCAGTCCTGTCCTCACCCAACATCCACATATATACACCTTTGAAAGAAGTCACTGGAATAATAATAATCCTTCCATTTGATATAGCGCCTTACCACATCTTTGAGACGTCTCAAAGCGCTTCGCAAAATATACTGTAAAGTGAATTAACTGTATATTTTGTGGGCGGAAATGATGAGAAACGTGAATTCTGGCTGAGATTTTCCCTCCTTCCCAGCCTAGTGATATACAGATGAATTATATTTCCCTCGCGCTGCTCTGACTGAAATCTGGTTGTTTCACCAAAGACAAAGGATAGTTCAGTACCACACCTTGTGGTACATTGATGCACTTAGCAATCAGAAGATTTCCCTCCCACATTGCTTTCAATCTGCCCAGCTTCAAAACCCATTTGATTTAATATCATTTCCCCATTTCACTGACAAACCACCATTATTTACTGTCACTTTTTAAAAGCCCTCTTGAGAGCATTTCAGTGTAACTTGTTTCGCCCACAAATACACAGTCAATCCACTTTACGATAGATTCTGCGAAACGCTTTGAGACTGCACAATAATGTGATATCAAATGCAAGTATTATTATTATCATCATCATCATTATTATTATTAACTCTGAACACAATCCTCCATGGGCCTCCTCTTTTGTTTGAAAGCAAAAGTCAAACAAATCTTACTTTCAAAATGATTTTGAACAAAGAAACAAGAGAAACAAAACAGCTGCGGTCTGAGCTGCCCAACCTGGAGTCCCCACGCCCTGAAAGCTCAGGAGCCCCACTGCCTGCGTTAGTAAACAATAGCTGCACCTAGACCTTAATAAACATACCTGATTCCTCTTTCCTTCTCGATTGAATACAGATGCTGTTTGGATTTAGTCTTTCTCCACGCAGCACACTGCTTAACTGTAGAACTGCCTCTGAAGCACGGCAGGATAATGTAGACACGATACTCGTTTACCTAACTGTACCAAAGTCCATGGAGGAAGGAATCGGTACACTTGAAGTGAGAGGAAAGCAGAATTTATTGCTGCTGAACTTTGCCCAATCAAGAATGGGAATACGTCACTGCAGGTAATTGCCAATGAACCTCTGCTCACCTACTAGAACTCTTTACCGCACCCTGATCCTGTACTAAAGAGTATGTTTGGAGGATGGCTTTACTTGTTACCTGTTTCCTGACCACATCGCACCTGTTGAACTAAGGCACAGGTGCAGTACAGCACAGCCCTTCTCCCGCCCCCTTACTGTTACAAGACGGTTCACAGATGACAGGACTCACAGTGGCCAAGGCTGCCACTAACCTACAATTTTAAATGTATCACTTTGAAATATTTAGAATATAAGAACATAAGAATTAGGAGCAGGAGTAGGCCATTCGGCCCTTCGTGCCTGCCCCGCCATTCAATAAGATCATGGCTGATCTTCTCACCTCACTCTGATTACCTGCCCTCTCCCCATATCCCCTAATCCCTCTATTTTTCAAGAATATATCAGTCTCAGCCTTGAAAATGTTCAAGGACTGAGCATCTACAGCCTTCTGGGGTAGTGAATTCCATAAGTTCACTACCCTCTGAGTGAAGAAACGTTTCCTCAACTCTGTTCTAAGAGGCTGATCCTTAATTTTCAGACTGTGACCCCTGGTTATAGATTCTCCCACCAGGGGAAACAGTCCCTCTGTGTCTACTTTATCAGCCCTTTAAGAATCTTATAAGTTTCAATAAGATCCCCCCTAATTTTTCTGTACTCTAGATAATACAGCCCCAGTTTATTCAGCCTATCCTCATAGGTCAGTCCCCTCATCCCAGGAACTAACCGAGTGAATCTACGTTGCACCCCCTCGAGGTCAAGTATGTCCTTTTTTATATAAGGAAACCAAAATTGCACACAATACTCTCGGTGCAGTCTCACCAAGGCCCTATACAGTTGCAGCAAGACTTCCCTACTCTTATATTCTAAACCTTTCGAAATGAACGCTAATATGCCGTTCGCCTTCTAAGTTGCTGCTGCACCTGCAAACTAACTTTTTGGGACTGGTGTACAAGGACACCCAAATCCATTTGAATACTAACACTATCTAACTTCTCCCCTTCCAGAAAATAATATGTTCTTTTATTCTTGCTACCTAGGTGAATAATTTCACACTTGCTAACATTGAATTCCATCTGCCACCTACTTTATAACATCTAATATACCTTGCGCATATACCTTTCTATCTTGCGCACAGCAGTGTCTCACTACAGTTTGTGGGACACTGCTGTGCACAATTAACTGCCGCTCTTCGCCCACAAAATAAACAGTCACTACATTTTATAGTATATTCTGTGAAGCGCTTTGAGATTCTCCATGATGTGATAAGGAACTATATCAAATGCAAGGATTATTATAGCAATAGGTGGATATGAATGGGATATGTTTCCAAAATGGGAAATGTATACAAAATGAATGTGGATGTGCCCAACTCAGCAGTGGTATACACAGTGAATGGAGTTCATAAACAAATTATTATATTTTTTCCAAGAGGTCAGTTGTAGGGAAATAGGTATGAAGACTTTTTTCCTTTCAAGAGGGTTAGCACCAGGAGAGTCGTGTTGCTGAATATCATGTGGTATGTGGAGTAGTGGGATGCTCCTGGGGGCGATGGTGATGTGACCTGTATGGAAAAAGTTGACATGAAATGATAACTGCACAAATGCAGAAAAATGGCCATGGGGAAGGGGATGGGAGAGGGGAGAAAAAGGACACCACACCTGAACTTCTTAATTTCTTCACACCTTTTTTACCTTCAAACAATTTTTAGTAGGGTTCACTTTCCTTCTTCCTAGCCTGAGGAAACTGAAGCTTGGTCTGAGATTAGTTACGCTCGGAGTTTCCACATCTTTTTGGCTCGGGCCCACTACAACAGTGCATTTTCGAACTGTGCCACCAATGGAGCGTCCAAAAGATTCTTCCATCGAGTAATACATTGTCTTAGTTACTACAGACATAGTGTTGTCTGCAATGCTGTGTCAACCAACAGCTTGAAAGCTGCCCTCATGCCACAGCTGGACAGGAGCCACAGCCAAGCTTGTCCGCAAGCTCAGGCATGTCCAGCTACACAGTGTTCTTCAGCCACATAAACAACAGCAGTTCCGATTCTATCGCTTGAAGCTGCACCCAGCCTGCATGAGGAGTTTGAGCGACCCAGCGGTCGATTCCTTTGACCGACTGCAACTTTTCTGTAGAAGACCACTTTGATGCAAGAGCCACTTCTCCTGGTGCTTTGACGTTGCTGGCTGAGATCATCATCTTGCCGGAGTTCCAAATGGAAAGTGATACCTACAGGCTGTGAAGCTGTGTCACACACTCTCGCCATAATCCAGCTGACCTTTCAAGAGCTGAAAACCTGAACTACTCACCTGTATTTCTGTACACTGCAATGATGTCCTGCCGGGTTTTGGTTGAGTATGTGGGATGGTGCTCCAGGCACTCTTTCCCACCCTCTTGTACGGTTGCTATGGCAAAGTGGTTTGTTGAATTGCCTAAGTACCTGTCTTCTAATCTCCCGATTGGCCGAGATAGTGACTTACTGAACACTGCGTTCAATAATTATACTCTGTTCGGAACATGATTGCGCCAAACACCTGTGCAAACAATTCAAAACATTCCTTACTCTCCCAATGCTTAGCTACCAGGGTTTCAACCTATGTGCATGTTGGTGTGTGTTTCTGTATGGTACAGTGTGTTTTGGGTGGAGTACTGCATGTTTGTATCTGCATGGTATGGTGTATTCTGCTGCATGTTTCTGTTGGGTTCTGTCCATGTTGGTGCATGTTTCTCCCAGAGTGGCAGGTTTATCTGTCGCTGTATATTTTGTCATCTCACTGGCTTTATACCCATCCTTTATATAAATTGTATTTCTATTGGTTAATTCTATTGGCGATGAAACACATCACCACAGGCCTTTGAGCTTTGTTGCGGTTGCTTGGAGACATCATTTGTATTGAATGCAGCAGCCATCGAAGGTGAGTGGGGTTGTTTTTCATTGTCAGTCGCAGGAGCTAATATTCCAATCACAGGCACCTGAGCCTGACCTGCCATGACTAGTGCAACACCAATCTTGGCACTGGGATTGCCACACATACTGCGGAAGGTCTCTGCGCACCTCGTCAACAGCTCGGTCAGTCAGGTTCTCTGCACGGTTCGCACATTTCCTTACACCACACACACGCCTCTGTTTACCTAGCAGTAAGTAGGAACCCACTTGTTAGGCGACTGGTGGATCACTTTCTGGGGGTAATAATCCCTACAAATAATAATAATAATAATCTGGTCACTCAATCCATGACTGGTTGTGAGATACTGCTGTGTGCAATTGGCTGCCACGTTTTGCCCACAAAACACCCAGTGACTACACTTTACAGTATATCCTGTGAAGCGTTTTGAAACATCTCGATGTCGTGATGAGGCACTATAACAAATACAAGGATTATTATTGTCTTGAATGTCCATATCTTGAACACGGTGTTCATATTAAAAAGGTCATGGACGATTAACCCTGCAGTTAGTATTGCCACTGAACAACCTCCAGAATTTAAGGTGTTCAGATCGGTCCCAACAATAACCCGCGAGTGTGCAAGAGTGCATACAGAATCATTTTTATTTGGTCAGCTGGTGGTCTGACACATGTTGATTTCCATCACCACTCTTAAGAATGTCCAAACCAAAATACTGAAAGCTACATGTATATATGGCTTTGTTTGTCTGGTATGAACAAATTCTCTCCAGAGGGATGTACCTTGCTCACCAAATCACAGAGCTTAAGCACGGGTTGGCAACAGCCAAAGCTTGAAGATAGTTACAAGGCAGGAGGATAGTCAAAGTTAGTCATTAGACATCTGATGAACACAGGTCTGAACCCTAGTAAGTTGTCTATTAAGTACCAGAAACTCCTGAAGAGCCATATGGTGGCAGTGAGCAGTGTAAAATGTGTGAGAGCATTGTGACCACCATTCTGATCACAGCCAGGACATATGACCCTATCAAGAATAGTGATTCCATGTTAGTTGGAGGTTGAGCAGCTGTTTCTCTCTGGTACCAATCAGGCCCTGGATATATGAGAGGGTCTTCATAAACCTGGACTCCTTCCAGCAGCTGTTATCTGAAGGCTCATGGTTCCCTTTCTAACTATTTGATGGAAGTCTGCATTCATATTGGGGAAAGGACTTATGTAACATGCCAACAACTAGACGTTCTAGAGGTCCAATACAAATCTGTATACCAGGTTTACCCATCAACTACTACATCGTGCAAAAACCAGGTCCTCATAAAAGGACACCTGGTAATAGACAGGCTGCTGGAAAACAGGTTAGTGTAGACTGGAACCTTCCCTCCCTGCAGCCTCTTCCCTTTATTTCCCACAAATTCACCCTACAGCTGCATTCTGGTCTCCACATCTGGACCAAATCAAACCCTTCCATTGTATGTACAGCAACGGCAACTAATGCAGGAAAACAGACTGAAGACACTGACCTGTGAACACTGACCTTATTCAACTGTCTTTGGGGTATGGTGAGCCTCATGTGTAAAACTCTGACAAACATGTGATACAACAGCTACTTGCATTGATTTGGTATTTTTCAAGGAGGATGACTGATGATAGGGAGACACCAAGCAGAGAGGAAAGGAGAGCGGAGTTTGAGGATGGTGACCAAAAGCACAATCGTAAGGCAGGGATAGAGGGCACTGGATGAAGGGATTTTGAGAAACCGTACCAGAGAGTAGTTGAACAGTACTTGAAGGTGTGATGGTGGGAAGACAGAAGGAGTGAGGAATGAGCAGTAAACTGGTGCTACATTGGGTTAGTGCACTCACTGCAGCACTCCCCTGCCCCATTCAACAACAACAAATCACATTTGTATGGTGACTTTCACGTCAGGAGGACGTCCCAAGGCACTGGAACAGACACAGGCAATGAGCTCATTCTATCCTAAACAAA